GAAAGATGTTGACACCATGGTCACACTGGTCATGACAGATAGCGCTACTGGGTATTTACATGCAGTGCCGCTACGCAGCAAGAACCAGTGGAGTTTGATGGTGCGTGAGTTGCTTGGTTTTGCAGGCATTGTGGGGCACTCAGAGTTGGTTTTTATGTGTGACAATGAGCCAACATTGCGCCAGTTGTTGCGCATGGTCGTCAGAGCAAGGTTAGCCATGGGTTTGCCCACACGTCAGACCACTTCACCACCATATTCACATGGCAATTCTTTAGTGGAAAATGCAGTTGGACGCATCAGGCCTTTGGCAGGAACGTTGATGCACTTCTTGAGTGAACAGGTGGGAGTGGAATTCTCCACAAATAGCCCATTGTGGAGCTGGGCATTCAGGCATGCTTGCTTTCTGTTGAATCGATTTACACCAACGAGAGGTGCCACACCATATGAAGTTCTGTATCAGAAAGACTACGGTGGTGCAATTTGCAACTTTGGTGAACCTGTTTTTGGATTTGCAAAGGTTTCAGGGAAAGGCACAGCACGATGGCGACGTATGTTTTTCCTTGGCAAAACAGATCCTCAGGACACATATCTGTTGTTTGATGGTCATGAGCTGGTGATCACACGCAGTATCAGAAGGATTGCAACAGCATGGCGTGGGCATTTGGCGTTTTACATGAATTTCAGGTGCTGGTCATGGGAATACAAAACGGGGTTTGGTGGTAGAATCTTGCCTACAAAGGCACAACCAAGTGCTTTGACTGCCAGTGGTGGAGCGCCAGCAGGCGATGTTGAACCCAGTGCATTCTTTGATGAGGATGCAGAGGCAGTACGTCAGAAACATTTAGAAGAGGTGAGAGAAGAGACAGAGCTGAGTGAGATGACTCTGCATGACAAACCCTTACCCGCAGCACAGCCAGTTGATGTTTCAGTTGGAGAAGAAATTTCAGAAGTTGCGCCAAAACAAGTGAGGTTTCCAAATCCCGTTGGAATCTTTGATGACCCACCTGAGGAGTCCAAAGAGCCTCAGGCAGTTGATACAGCGTTGAATGTGCCCAGCATTGCGTCAGGTCCTTCTTCCTCTGTACATGGTCCTCCAGTTGATGTGCCACAGACTCCAGATGTTTTTGCAAGGGTTCCCACAACACCAAGAACCTCCCCAAGCGCACGTCAACATGAGACAGAGCCAGATGATCATGACTCAAAACGAGCAAGAGTGGAAACTGCAAAGAAACAAAGGTTGGAGCGCATCTCAGCAGAGTATGCAACAATGGTGCGCACGGTGAAATTTGCAGGTGAGAATTTTCACACCATGGATGAATACAACAGTGACTTGAGTTTGGATGATCATTTGAGTTTGGAAGCATGGCTTGAGGAGGAGAAAGATGAATCTCCTATTGGAGATATGCCCGTTGAGCTTTGGTCTGAATACCCTGCAGACTGCCATCCACCTGAACCCGAGTCATGGGTGGATAGAGTAGCTGACACAGTAGAGCCGTCGAGGCTTTGCAAGATGAATGTGATTGTGGAAGGCAACTCAGAACAATTGGACGCTAGCAGCACTCTCACAACAAAATTTGTGTATGATTGGCGTCTCAAAGACAAGGTCAACCCTGACGGCAGCGGTGAGAAGCGCTGGTTGCGGCGTTCAAGACTTGTGGCGAGGGAATTTGCCTTCTGGGAGAAAAGATCAGACACGTATTCTCCAGCCACAAGTACCCATATTCTGAACGTTTTGCCGATGAAGTTTCTACAGTCTTTGGTTGATGTGCCAACTTGTGAAAACGAAAGCTTGAGCAAGGTTTGCCTTGGCACTTTGGACGTGAAAGATGCTTTTCTTATGGTGGACCAACCTTCACCGATGCTGGTTAGCCTTTTGGGAAAGCAATATACAGTGAAGCGCAACTTGCCAGGTCAGAGGCTTGGAGCAAAGAGCTGGTATTGGCATTTGCGTTCTTTCCTTTCAGAAAAGATGTCCTTTGAATGGTGCAAGGAACAGCCCTGCTTGGCCAAGAACTCTCAGTGCTGCATCATGGTGCATGTGGACGACATTCGGTACTGTGGTGACCGCGCTTATTGGCAACAGACCTTTTTGCCCAAGTTTGCAGAGGTTTACAAAATCAGTCATTCAGAACTCAAAGGCATTGGCAGTGAAATCAGTTTCCTCAAGAGGAAAATCTGCAGAACAGAACGTGGCCTAGCTTTATTGCCGGGTACAAGTGCTGAAAAAGTGGTGGAGCTCTATGAGCAGTGCTTTGGGAAAACAAGACCCCAGGCCATACCATGTGACTCAAGCATCCAAGTTGAAGACAAATCAGAGGAGCTTCCTCCAAAGGAGGCGTTCTCCTACCGGTCCATTGTAGGAACGTGCCTCTACTTAGCCAGAGATCGACCAGATCTGCTCTTCACGGTGAAGGAGTTGAGTGGGGCCATGTCGAGGCCTACTTACACTGCATTGCAGCGATTGAAAAAGCTGGTGGGGTATCTGAAGTCCACACCAGACTATTGCGTACTTCTTGAAATTCCAGTTGGGGTCAGGGCAAGTGGCATTCAACTGACCAATATTGGCTGCTTGAAACTTTCAGTGATAGTGACTGGAGTTCGAACCAAACGCACAGAAGATCAACGAGCTGCGGAGTGCACATGCTTAATGGCTCATTCCTCTTTGCCAGCTCAAGGTCTCAGCGCGTAGTGAGTCTTTCCAGTTGTGAAGCAGAACTCCATTCAATGGTTAGTGCCCTCAGCGATGGAATTTTCTTGAAAAGGTGTATCCAATTCATTTGCGGTGGTGAAATTGATCACGTATGATTCACTGACTCTTCATCAGGAAGACAACTTGCAATGAGACAAGGAACAGGGAAGGTGAAGCATCTTTCTGTGAAGATATTGTGGATTCAAGATGCAGTTCGAGAAGGTTTGATCCAGTTGATTCAAATTCCCACCTTGTGGAACCTTTCAGACATAGGAACAAAAGCGTTGGGAATTCAGCGGATTCGGCTTTTACTCCATGAACTCAATGTGGCTGCAGGTGATGGATTCGCTGTGGTTGGTGAACCTGAATATCAAGCCCAAGTCGAAAGACATGGTGGAGGCCGCCAAGTGTCAAAATTGGTGAAACAAATAGCACGTGTTTTGGTTTTGATGGGCCTTGAGTCAGCAACCCCAAGGGCGATGGCTATGGTGACTGACTCCATGGTTGATGACAATTTCCATGGAGGTGTTTTTCAGTGTTCAAAAGAGCCCAATAGCGTAGACCAAGGAGGAGCATTTCCTTCCAACACGATGTTCATTTTCATTTTGATGGCGGTCGTTTGCTTGTGCATTTTCCTCTTCAAGACGTATCGAATGGCGAGAGATGCCTACTCCAGCTATGAGCATTCATATGTTCAGATGTCCATTTTGGATTCTGCGTACAATCAAGTGCAAAATCAGTATGAAGCCTTGAGAAGGGAGCACCACGAGTTGCAACAGGTGGTGGCGAATCTACGCAGAACAGTCCATGAACTGGAGTCGAACCAAGAAATGCTTTCTGATGGCCATGATGAACTGCACCATGGCTTGGTCATGTTGGGAGGCTTTACCTCCCATAGTACTCTCACTATGGATCAGAGGCAACACATGTACTCAGTTGAGAGGGCCAACATGCTTGCTTCAAGAACAATGGGAGCTGGAAGGTATATGGCCAAGGTCTTTCACCAAACGCGTGGTCTGGCAACTGGAGACGACACTGATATGGGTGACACAGGAGCTCCAGCCAGTTCTCATGAAGGTGCAGAAAGCGAGGCCCCTACCAACGATCCATATGTGGCACTAGCATCCCCAATGAGCAGTTTGACTCAGATCCACGAGACACTGAGGAACGAGCTAAATGGATGTCTTGCACGAGAGGCTTTCAGTGATGCCCATGAAGTTCAAAACTGCATTCTTTTGCTGCTGGACTCTATGAATGGAGCCCAACCTATGGAACAAGGAACCAGAATGCTTCTACTTCGAAGAATGGGTGATAAGCTGGAAGTTTTGGCAGATCGCCAACGCTCACGTGGAGAGGAACTGATTGCAAGCAGATTTCAACATTACTCAGATCTTTTGAGAGAAATTGGATCAACAACTTGAGGCGAAGGGTACCGGGCAACCCTCAATCCCGGGGTTTTGCATGCCAGATGTTTGAAAACTTGCGTGTCTTTGAAATGCAGATGCGGTGCAGATTGTGGACATCGAAGCCATAGGCTCACGTGTCCAAGGAGGAGTACAAAAGATTGTGTTCCATACTCACCTGTGGATTTACAGCTGCATGGCCACTGCATTAGGATGACACGCACAATCAGAAGTACTTGAACGTTTGCTTCAGTTTCATGGGAACAGTCCATGGCATTCATCACACAAAACTGTGTGGATATCTGTGAGGCCCTGGTTCAAGGAAAAAGGTGTTTGTTGAACGCCGATCGTTTTGCAGCAAGGGAAATTCTCAATGCCACGCTTGGCTTGGAGTTTGAACATCAGCTGACGCCGTGGTATGCACGGCCACGACTCGAATTTGGCCGATGGGCCGTCGCGTTTGAGGTTGGAACGTGTCTTACAACTTGGTGCTTGTGCATGCGATATTGACGTCTTGCAATGTTGGGATGCACTGCTGGCCTATGCCGGAAAGTGTGGAGAAAAACAGGCCACAGTTGCATCCCTTCGTTGCAAAAAGGCGTGAGTGCATTTGTTACAGTTTGTTCACCACAGCGTTTTGAGGCCACTCAGATTGGTATGTGACATTTGAATTTCCTCAGTTTCATGTTGCACATGGCCACCAGCGGTTCCAAGACCCATAATTTTTTCTTCTTCAAACAGTTGAAAACTCAGTGTGTTTGCCCGCAAAATTTGCAGTATCAACATGTCAAACATCCCGCAACGCATGAAATAAATTCGCATCTGATTCAACGATTTGTGCGCAGTGGAATCATTCTGGGACAAAGTCAAAATTTGATTTGCGTTCTGGACGAACACCACCGAGTGGTTTGTCACAGTTCGTCGCCATGGGTGCTGGTGCCAGTGTCGAGGAGAATCGCAAGGTGAATTGTGTTGTGGTTGGGTTGTTATAGGTTTGTTTCATGACAATATTTTGGGTCTGTGTCAAACCATTGAAAAACCAATTAAGTGATGGCTTGCTGTCAAAACAAAATTGTCACGTGTTTCCCATTATCTAAAACGACCCCTACCAAATTTTCTTGCTATCTGGGATGTTCCCAACAGCTGTGACTGTTGGTTTTCAATCTCTGGGTCTGGGAATGCTGGAACGCTGGAATGTTGCGTTGCAAAAACTGGGTTCATTTTTTCCCAAATATTTCCTTCGCCCGTGTTGGGTTGCCTCGGTGACAAAAACTACCATACTACTACCACACCCACGGTGGATGACTTACAGTTTTCTGGGGTTAAATTCATGAAACAACAAACCGATCATTTTTGGGAATGATGTGTTTCTTTCCTGAATGAAACATGATAAATTTTTAATTTGGATTCATTTTGAATTGATCTTTAACGAGGATCAATTAAAAATCAAATTGACCAACTGGAAATTTCCCCCAAAGTCAGGATGGACCTTAGTTTTAATATTTGCGGTACGTTTAGTAGTAGGGGCATGGGATTATAAATGTGAGACACAAATTCAAATGTCTTTAGATACAAAAATAGTACATCAAACCTTCGAACCTCTGGTATCTAATGCTGCAATGGAAAATCTACATTTTTGGAACAAAAAAAACATATCCACCTCATTTTGTCTCGTCTCGTTTTATCTTATTCCCTTTCATCGTTGATATCATTCAACCAACATTTCTGACACCTTTCCAAGTGTTTGCGTGCCGATGATTCGACTTGATCATGTCTGGCATGAAACCTAAAAAATATACAAATGGCATATTCCCTGGCAAATCCAAATTTTTGTTGCTAAAATAGTACACTTTAAAAAACATATGGGTGATTTCTAATTTGCCTCGGTAAAACCACAGGTTTTCCTGTTTTTTTTTTTTTTTTCCGGCGCAGGTTCTGAAACTTTCCATCTACAGCGCTGCGGCAGCACTCCAAGGTGGCTGTGCACCGGAGGAAACCGGGGATGCGTGGGAAGGAGGAAAAACGTTGGTTTTCATTGGAGATGAATGGGGATGTAATAACTACACTATATAACTATATAGATTCCCAAAAAATGCAGCAAAAAAAATGAAAACATATGATTTGCCACCATTTCAAATTGGGATGTCAGGAACTTCTATTTGTCTGGGGGGTGCTATATATAATAGTAACAATTAAAATAGGTATAAATTTTACTGGTAAGCATGGGGTAAGATTTCATGGGATCTGTAATCACCTTCATATGATTAAGGATATACCCAAGGGTGAGCGGTACAACCAACAAATGTGGAAAAGGATCCACCAACTCAAGGTGGGATGGGTCATGGTCATCCCAATTTTTTACCCATTGGAAACCATGACCATGACTAGTTCGACGAGTTGGTTTTCGGAGGGAGCCTTTGGCAATTGAAGAATGGTCATTTTTGATGGCTGAATCATCTACAGAGGGGTCAATTTCTGAGATTTTGGACGGCTATGCTAAACGACAAGACCGTACTAAATAAGCAGATGACTAAGTTGGGGGGTTGCCCGCCTTCTCCATTTTGAGAGTAATCGAAAACACTACTTTGGGGGCAGCATAAGTTTTTTTTTTTTTTTTTTAAAAAAAATTCCGACTTCATTAATCTGGGGTGACATCTGTCGGGGTTTATGATGGATACAATGGGTTTATGAGTATATATATATAAGTATACATACTCATAAGATGATTTTAAAAAGTTTACCAACAAAGGTTATATATGGGGGCATTAGACCCAACATTCTATATATGGGATATAATGCTAAATAAATATCACGGGATACAACGGGGAATTTAGCAGCAACCATAAAACTGAGGATAGAAAATCAGAATGCAACCAACAATATGATAGTGGGTTTGGTTCCTAAATGGATAATTCTCCGCCAATTTGTTCCAGCTTTGATAGGGAAACTATGAAAAACCATTGGAATTTTCCTGATCTCCAAGGTATTTTTTGGCGAAGAGCCAAATTTGTCCGTATCCAGAATTCAGTGGTTTCAGTGCTCAGGTGACCATGGAATGGTGGGAAGATCCATGTTTGTTCTGGCTGGTTTAATTCGGATTTCAGCGGATTCCTGGTTGATCTGTTGTCAGCACCCGAATTCCACTCCTAAAACATGTACGTAAACTCTAACACTCTAACATGCTTTGTTCTAATTCGTCGGAGGACATGGTTCATCTTGAGTCAGGATTGGATTGGCGAGGATTGACATGCAGGTTGCATTTTTTGGGGGTTTGTGGCAAATCATTTCTATCATCGGATTCCTACAGATAGAAAACCTGCACTGTACTCTGGAGTTTGTTCCTGAGCCGGGGTGGATTTTGGTGTCAAAAGCACTGCTTCATTTGTTGGTTTTCGTAGTAAGTAGGGACTGGTATCTACAAATCCGCAACAAGTATGAAGAGATCACAGCCTTCTCCTCCCTGGGGTTTTTCATTAAGTGTTAAGGGTTGGTGGTTGCTCTGTCAGAATCAGATTCTTTTGAAAATGCAATGGTCAACTTGGTCACAAAAAAGGACCTCCAGTTCCATTTTAGTGCTTGTTGAAACCATCCCTGTGGTCCACATCCCGGTCTGTCCAATGTGCGCAGGAAGAGGAGCTTGATGAAGGGGAAGATTATGACGGTTGTTTCCCCGACGCAAGTTTCACTCGCTTCATGCGCGGAAAGCTTCCAAAGGACAGCCGTTTTTTTTTGTTGATTCCAAGAGGAGACACAGATATGGGTCAAAACCTTGGAACCAGAATGAGCCACAACAACAATATCGTTGCCCCAAACATGTGGCTACGAATCCCGTATGTATATATATATATATGTATATATATATATGTATATATATATATATGTATATATATATATATAATCCAACACCCTTAATATTTTTGATTGTGTAGATGAAGAGATGAAGCTCCAACAGCACTTATCATCCTCGATTCTGACAACTTTTTGGGAATCTTCCCCCAAGCCAGTTGCGGGTATTCTGACTGCATCGTTCCCAACATTACCTTGTAAGTCACAAATATGAACAGAAGAGAAGACCTGTCCGGATATGAAATAAATTCTTTTGGGCACATTTCCGTCATTATAAGTCTTTCTACTTCGTTAGTCTTTCCAATCAACACGAACCAAAAAAAGTCACTCAAGTCAAGTCGCAGGAAGAGGTGCAAGAAGCAGTGCGAAAATGGGTTCAAGAGCAGATTGCTGAGTCTGAGGAGGATCAGAATGATCAGAAGAGGAGCATTTGGAGGGATGCTTTGCGTGCCTGCCAGGGTCGAAGTCCCAGGTCCAAGACGTAGCTTGGATCAAACAGACTTTCATTGGCAGGTTTTGTTGGGATGAACACTTCTTTGTCACAGGAGTTTAGGCCATTTTCGAGACTTCGGTATTTGGAGATTCTGGGAGCCCTACCAACTGATGCGTTCTAAGTTTATACATATGTATACATATGTGTACATATATATATATGATATATGATATATGATATATGATATATGATATATGATATATGATATATGATATATGATATATGATATATGATATATGATATATGATATATGATATATGAATATATGAGTATGAATATATGAGTCTCTGCTGCTCTGCTCTCTGCTCCCTCCTGCTATCTGCCTCTCTGCTCTCTGTCCTACGTTCCCTCCCTCCCTCCATCCTCCTACATCCAGCTGCGGCGCAGTACGATACCGACAGGCGCATCTGCGAGCAGGAGTTCACCAACCGTACCTCAATTCATGAGCATATCCCAATACTGACATGTCCCATAACGTACATAGCCTTACATCCATACCTTACGAATCCCTCCCTACCTACCACAATACATAACATCCTACATACATGCCATCCCAGTACATCGCATCCTACCCATCCCTCCCTCCATCCCTACCTCATCCCTCCACTACCTACTCCACACCTCATACCTACATACATACATACATACTACATACCTACATACATACTATCAATACATCATCCATACAACATCACTACATACATACATACATACATACATACATACATACATCATACATACATCTACATACATACATACTCATAACATACATACCATACATACATACACACATACACATCATACATACAATAGATACATATCAACATACATACATACATACAACATCATACCTACATACATACATACATACATCATACATACATACATACATACATCCTACATACATATGCTCAAAACCCACGGACATACTACAGGGAGTATATCCTCATATATCTATCTATTCTAGCTATCTATCTATCATCTTAGTATCTTCTATCATATCTATCTATCTATGTATCTATCTATCTATCTATCTATGTATCTATCTACTATCTATCCTATCTATCTTGTATCTAATCTTCTATCTATCTATGATCTATCATCTATCTATCTAATCTATGTATCTATCAAGGTATCTATCTATGTATTCTATCTGATCTATCTATCTATCTCTCTATCTATCTATCTATGTATCTATCTACTATCTATCTATCTATGTATCTATCTATCTATCTATCTATGTATCTATCTATCTATCTATCTATCTATCTATCTATCTATCTATCTATCTATCTATCTATCTATCTATCTATGTCTATGGGTGTTTGTGACTTGCACGCATGGGTTTGAGACGTTCTCATCTGGACTCAGTGGAGGTCCTATTTGAAAGCTATTGATTTATTGGTCGAGACTATCGGCAAAGACGATCCAGAAATCATCCTGATCAGCGGGCTGCAGGTCGGGGAACTGGGAGGGAGCTCAGCCCATGGAATCAGTGGATCCCATGGGATTTTGCGGCGGACAGGTGAGCGGAATTCCCGACTTTGCCTATGCTCTGCTGGAATCTTTGCCGGAGGTTCAGAGCTTCAGCAACGGCAGCTACCTTGTGCCTTGGAAGATGTCGGATTTCCAACAAAAAACATCAAATTGGCTTATGCCCAAAAGATCCCAAGTATCTATGGATTTATATGCAACAAATTTAAGAAACAGGTGGATTGATCGGGCCGGCTGCTCATCTTCGCAAAAGTACTTCAATTTATGCAAGTGTAGCGGGCGCAAAGGCCAGCCTCAAACACTGCAGTCATTTCGGGGAAGTTTGGGGAGTTGAGGGGGGCTTGAATGATGTAATGTCAAGGATCCCTCAGCTTTCGTTTTGCCAAAGTTCTTAAACAAATTTGTTTCATTCATTGAACAAGAAAACACCTGCGAAATCGAGAGCCCAATTTTCATCAGTCGCCCGTCCATAGTTTCTGCCGAAAAGGAAGTGCTGATGGAATTCTATCCGCCCTACGTTGAATCTTACCAGCAATCCTGGGCCATGGAGTTTTGGCACAAGGAGGTGCTTCCCCGAGCCAAAGCCGCTGGGGCTGCGAATGAGGTGCTTGCTTCCCCATAAAAAGATGAATGGAGCGGAATTCCGATCCCAAAATTCTATAAAACTGCAGCAATTGGGCATCGAGGCAGTACGTGCTCAAACCTTGGGTGTTTTTGATGAACCAGATTGAACCAGATGACCCATATCAGCACCTGCCAAATGTAGTGGGATCAGATGGGATCAGGAGATGGGTTCGATCCACAGCCAGCCTGGGTGTCAAACGTTGCCTCTTAGGAAGCGATTGTCGAGCGGCTCAAGGAGAAGAACGATGAGGGTCGTTGTAAAGTGGCTCGGTACAATGGCTTGACTCCCTGGATCCCCTGGATCCAGACATTGGAAGGAATGACCACCGACACCTCCACCTGGAGGGTCCTATAACTCTAGTTTTGGGGCTGTCACAAAATTTGGACCCCTCAAATCTCAAGTTTCTCATCACTTGAAGGGAAACAAACATTTTTGGCTATCCCCCAATTTGGAAACAAAACCCATTGTTCCTGTTGATCTATCCTCTAGACGACAAGCTCGGCATGGCGAGAGATGCTGCGGCTTGGGCATCTATATACCTTGTTTCGATGCAGACACTTGGTTGCTTGTTGGGGATACTGCTTATTTTGATGGTTAAAACGAATTGCACATGGCCGTTGCTATTGGCCAAGTATGGGTGGGATGTTGTCCAAGCTGCCATCCCTTGGGAGTCGGAAAAAAAATCCCCGATTTTTTTGGGTCCCCCAAGCCCTCATGGTTACTCCGGTTGAGGGACAATTCCGGATACAGTACACTCCATCCCGGAAAAGGGTGTTTGACACCCCCCATACAATTCAATGATCAGTACGGCTATATATCACCATTTTTAATTTGTGGACAAAGTTGATGGTGAATTATCACTTCTTCACTTCTTATGGCCAGAAATTGGGTATCAAACCCGCGCTTAAAACCATCATTGCTGGGTCAGATCTTTCATTTTTGGAGCCCACTTTTGTGATTCGCCTTATTTATGTAGGTACTCTTTGATAGCTTCGACGGCACCATGCTGCACAGCATGGGCGAATGGCTGCGGTTGGGTGCAGATCCCGTCGGCTTCTTGGAGCCTGAGGAGGTGGAGGAATTCCTGAAGTTGCACCGCCAGGTCGCCAGGTCTGGGAGGTTTCCATAAAATCCCCAACAGCTGGATGGTTTATACTAGTTTATACATGTTTACACTCGAAAATCCTATGAAAATGAATGATTTGTGGGTATCCTCATGTATCCTCCATTTTAGAAAGCCACATATTGGTCTGTTTGAGAAGTTTATTTTTTCCGGGTATACCCATAAAATGGCCATTTGATGTTGGGAAAATGATGAAGATTTAGGCGGTCTATGAGTTGATTTACTGATTTGCACAGAATCGGAGGTCCCGAGCCGCCTTCCATCCCATTGGTTCAACTGAAGAGCAGCAGCCTCGGAATTGTCATTCCTCTTCTTGTCGGTATCCCCCATTTTGATACCTCGGGTTGTAAAACACGGTGTTTTCCCATCCCAAACATGGGTAATCGGTCATATGCCCATGTTTTCCTAGCATTTTTCCCACCTTACAATGGTATCCTTACCATTTTGGCCCTCACCTCCCTGGTGTCAGGTGGAAGACTACTGGCCCCGTTGGCCCGCGCATCTGGATTTGGTGAAGGCGATTGCCACGCGCGACAAGGTGGCACTCAGCAGTGCCTTAGACAAGGCAGGGGACGTGACGTGAGATTTTCAGGCTTTCAGGTGGATTTCATTGGGATTGACCTAAAACCAACAGGCATGAGGATATAATGGGATGATATGGGATGTACAACTGACAATGGGTTAAAAAATGACTATACGTTTTTTTGCTTTATCCAAACGCCACGGGGTTTTCATTTTCAGACACACCATATTTTTTCAAGTGCGATCGTCACCAATCACTGGAGATTTATACACCCAGTCTATGGGATTGCTATGGGATGGATGCCCTTAGCCACATATGGTCTGACCATGGCGATGCCAGGCCAATCTGAACGAAGACGCCATTGATGGGGACTCCAAGACGGCGAGTCTACTGGTCCTATCCATGTGGAAATGCTGGCAGCGGAGGTGCGGATATACTGGGGATGTCCATGGGGATTGGGATCTAATGATATCATGAGGATATAGTGTGTTGGATACAAGCTGGTGATATGGATGTGTCTGATTGTTCCGGGAAGAGTTACAAGATCTTTTTGCAAGAACCTCCAAAGAGCGTACCATAAGGGTTTTTAAACGAGGACCTCTAACACGATATCGTCAAGATCTTCGTAGAAGGACATTTGAGAGGATTTGATCAGCATCTGACAGCACGTACAAGGTAATTAATGAGGGAGAGGGTTGCGCGAGCGATATCAGGGTGGGCACTGGGCCACAACGAGAGTGAAATTTCCGGCGTCCCGAACAACACTACTGCATATAACACCAAAAAATGAAGCTGAGGCATCCGAAGCAGTGCACTTGCCAAAGGCACTTGTCATGTCGACCCTTGCCTGTCAACTTTTAGCCAAGCGCGCAAAGCACTGTGCCTGCCACCTTGATGAAAAAAACCCGAAGTCAAGCACATGCGGTTCTGACCCTAAGAGCGCCAAATCTCTTACGACCGCCACACAGTTCAAAAAGGACACAGCACCCACGCGATAACACACCTTTGCAAGAGAGGTCTCCAGGGACATGTTTTGTGTGAGACTTTCTTTGGAAACGGACGAATTATGAACTTTTGTGCTACAGTGGTCACCAAAAAAAGGACCCCTGGATCAGCCCAGCCAGAACAATCGCAATGCTTCCAGATGTGAACACACTGTTTGGGGAAGGAACATATACCTCCTGATCGGATTTAGGGGTACCATGGGGTACCCTATGTTGAACCTGCTCAGAGATGGGCCCCCAGTGCCCGCAGACTTTTGTCATAATTGGCACTGATGATGGGATTTGGTAATCATTTGCACCAGAATTAAACCCAGAGATGGCGGTGAAAATATTGGCACAAACATTGCAAGTGAGTAATCACTGCCAGTTTCCCTATTCCCAGACAGAAAAAAAACATCTTGAAACTCACCCTTCACAACCAAAAGTCACCAACTGAGTAGCACTGGAACGGTGATTGGAACGGCACCGCCGAGGTGGTCCGAGATCTTGCTGGAGAGACAACACATCGTTATGGATGGGAAGACAGTGTCCTGTCCAGGAAATGCCCTACCCGGAATACGTAGGGACCGGTAGGGACACAGGGACGACACGACACCTGTTTTTTTTTTTCAACATATCCCAGGGTGTGTTGGCCTTCCAAGAATCATATTTTTCATACTTTTTTCCTGGCTGTGGCTGTGGTTCCAGGTTTGGCTCCCCTACGATGACCTCGAAATCTTCAAGATGATTTTGGCGCGACCCGACATTGCAACTTGTCGCCCAAAGATTTCTCAAAAAAGGTTCTTTTGTGATCATGTTTGAAAGCGCTGATATCTAGAAAGATGATGCTTTTGTATGGTTTTTGTCGTTTTTATACAATAATCTATGGTGAACCAAAATTATAGTCCTCACAGGCTCAGTGGCTCAGTTTTCCAAAGCCTCCTATGGATCTCAGGATCCCAATGTCGGCGCTTACAGCTACGGATGGCATGGCTCTCACGTGCGAGCAACAGCACTGGGAATGGCGCTATTAGCAGACTTGGACACAGGCGCCCAAAGGATCTCAAAGGGATGACTGGTGCCAGCTCTGGATTTCACAGCTTTGGGATGCTCGAAGGGTCCTTGAGGTCGAAAGTTTGCGACCAAATTGAACATATTGAACCCGGTCAACTGAGTCAGATTTACTGGATTCTGCGGTCAGATACACTTTTATCATTTATAATAAATCATTTGCTGGCAAAATCTGGTGCCAAGCATTTTGACCAATACCCAGTTCTCTTGTTTTTTCGGAGGCTGCTGCGACCACCTACTAGAAGGTGACAGTCGTTGCTTGGCATTGTTTGATGTCATGGAACATGTGGATTTGAGTCAGCATGAACCAGACCCAAATCCACAAATGGCAGGTTGGCCATTCCATTTTATGGTGCTCGCTTGATCGAAGGGACCTTTTTTGCACGAAACACCAGGAAAGACCATGGTTTTCACCATCCAATCATTGGCCATGTTGGAGATTTTCCCTTTAACATCCAGTATAGGACAGTAAATTATCACTATTTTAGTAGGATTTCGCTGTTCTATCTTTTGGAGGTTACTACAGTTCAAACAGTTTTGAGAAAGTGGGACGAACCTTGCCTGTGAGCATCTAAGTTTTGGTGGCTCCGCGCCGGGAGATTGTGGAAGTGTTGGCCAACGATCCCAGAGTGGTACCTGGGGTCAGAAAGATAGGGCAGGTGTCTCAAACATCTTGTTTTAAGCAAGGAAAATTAGGGACTTAAACATCAAACATTGGGACTCCATAAGAATGTGGGAGATACCTCGTGGCCATTGAATAGGCAGCTTGCAATGCCCGGGTCCAAATTTTGAGGCCCGATCCTATGTGGGAGGCCCGAAAGCCATCGAATGCCGACAAAAATTTAGGACGACTAGCTATTTTCATTGGCAGAGGCATGGATCCTCCACAGTAAAGGGCCACCCCCAATTTTTCGAGGTTTGGACCTTAGCATTGCCGGATGCCATGGAGATCAATTGGCCAAATATGTGGTTCCTTCATAGAACTACCGTAAAGTTTGGCAGTTTTTTGCAAACTTTGCACAGTTCCATAATGTTCCAAATATTTCCATGTTTTTTTGATTTCATGAAATTTCCATGGCGGATTTTTCTGATGATTGGGGCATGCGCGCTTCGAAAAAAGGACCTGGAAGACGTCTTCTTCGAGCACTATGAGGAAGGTGGTGATGTTTGGCTCAGCGCGCTGACGTTCATGCAATGCAAGAGCCACCTGGAGCCAAGCTGCGTCAAATCACGGGAATCTGACTCTGCCAGTTATTCGCACTTCTGGTAGATCCCATCTCTCAATCAGTCAATCGATCGATTCATGAATGAATGAATCTATCAATCTATCAATTTTTCTATCAATCTACCAACCTACCAATCTATCAATCTAGCAATCAATCAATCTATCAACCTATCAATCGATCAATCTATCCATCCATCCTTTTGTCTATCTATCTATCTATCTATCTACCTAGCTAGCTATCTATCTATCTATCAATCTATCTATCTATCTATCGATCTATCTTTCTCGATCTATCTGTCTGTCTGCCTGGCTGGCTGGCTGTCTGTCTGTCTGTCTATCTGGCTGGAAATAGATCATTTCCGAAATCATTTCCATCCAACCCCAGGCACCAAATCCCGATCCCCATCCTCCGCCTGCTGTTGAGGTTATGGTGCCATCGACATGGCCAGTGCGATGGTTTTGATGAAAGCTGGCGCGCTGATGTCTCCAGGATGGGTGAAGCTCCTTGAGGATTTAGATCAAGGTGCCGCACCTGGTTTTGCCGTTGCGGTTTTGCCGTGAACTCTGCAGACCGGACATGGGATGACATGGGGAGGATTGAGAAGCTCACCCTCCCCATCTTTCCCCATCTTTCCCTATTTTTGGTGACAGGCTGTTGATGCATGTCTCATCTATATAGATCTATATAGGGGATAGGGGATTTGAAAGATCACCGGATGTGGATGCTTCGATTCAGATCCCTCGTGCCTCGAGGTCTTCAGAAGGACCTCAACGAAGAGCTGCAACAGCAGCTGATTCAGGAGCGATGAACCAAGGGTGGAATGGGCTACCCACAGCCAAGTTAATAGGGAAAATGGCTATGAACCACTATTTTCAGCCAACCTCATGTGTTTTTTTTGGAAATCGATTAAATCGATGCAGTTTTTGTTGCGGCTGGTTGATTCTTGTGTTCTAAACAACGTTTGCCTCACTTTGTTGTATGCCATGGGTTGAAAGTCCGAAGGCCGGGGGGATGCATTTTTTGCGTGGCAGCAGGGGTCACAAAAAAGATCGAAAAGCGATTACCCTGTTAACTTTTTTTTCTTTTAAAATGATCATGACAATTTGATCTAATCTTTGCATGCGCTTGCAAGGCCTTACGGGACTTGTGAATCTAGGTGATACTAAGCAATGATACTATGGCAAACAGGGACTTGACTCTCAGATATTCATTTTGGCTCAAACGTCCACATGTTGATATATTCGAGACTACCTTAGTTCGCATATGTTCGCATTATGTATTTATTGTATTTGTTCCTTGTCTTCAAAGCTCCGCTCGTTGAGGATTCCTTTGTCAAAAGCATGTGCAATTTTTGATTGGATTCTTGATTCTTTTAGTGATCTGAGCCCCAAGATTTGATCCTTCGGGTCCCGGATCTCGGCCGGGCCCCATGAAATTCCAGTGCTACAACGGCTCGGGCAGGAGCAAGAGGAAGCTGGCAATGTGAGGTGAGTTACCGCGAGGGGTTTAGGATGACTTCGGGGGAGAGTTTGATTGACCGCTTTTTTTCTTGATGGAAGGAAGCAGCTATATAGTTGGCTCCCGACTGTTTCCAGACACCTACTATTGGCTCTCCTTGAGATAAGGTGCTAGGGCACCACGAAACTCTCATGGTAAGCAATCGGATGGTGGTTGGTGGGCCATACTTTTAATGTCATCCGAAGCCAAGCCGCCTGAGTTGCAAGCAATGGACTGATTTGGAAGAGTGGTGGCAGAGTTTCCCAAAATTCCATCATTTCCTGTGGGTGATCCAGCTGGTGGTTGCGGAAAGTAAACCTCAGCTGATCATGTCAACCCCACATAGATATTGGAGGAGCCATTGTCAGCGCAGGCAGTTGCAGAGGACAAACCTGCAGGGCTACACCTTGTTTGAAGACAACAGCCATGTTCTGCGCATGAACAAATCGGAGGCCGTGGTGCCGTTAGCCAAGGTCCTCGAAGTTTTTTGGGCATAGTGTAACTATCTACATGAAAGGGATATGGCTCAGATATGGCCCATATGGATTCTGGGTCCAACTTAAACTTTGGTGCCATCCGGTTCTTGAGCCATGCTGCGTTCAGAAGTTGGATTTTTAAAACTCATGGTGTGAGGGTCTGATCGGCCAGTTGGGGCGGTTGAGTCGAGCTAGACTAGTCCATGTCCACCAGAGGGTCCACACTTAGATGTCTTCCTCCGTAAGTACGGTATCACTGAGAAGAAATCAGTGGCCCACATCACTGAGATTGCATCTCTGCAGTACATAGCGGCATAGCGTCGCAGATTCTGAAGAGCCGAATTGAAGGTGAGAAGGAGGTCAAAGAGTGGTATGGCATTGTCACTGGCTCGAAAACTGGCTGGGATGAACAAGCCAATAGAATCATTGCATCGTATATATATATAATATACATAATTATGTATATACACAATATATATATATATATATACATAAATATTGTAATGTAGATTTACAACGTTGCCATGTGATTGAGTAGCTTATCCTAGTGGGTTTGCTGCAATCCCGAGTGCTGGAAGTGATTGGCTCCAAAGTGGGTTTGTCCAAAAAACGGGGCACCCCATTCCATCCAATGGCTACTCTGGGTCTTCACCCATGTGACGAAGCCATATCAGATTGTTGGGTTATCCCATTCTCAGTGTGGGTTTGGTGCAATGCCGTTTGCACCATCCCCCAATCATCACCATAAAGGTGCTATAACATGCTATAACCATTCCCGTGGGTGGTACACCATGGTTTTTCCCTCATGATTTTTCCATCGACCAAGGTGAAGAAAGGCTCCTTGGTCTTCACTTGGCCCAAGAGCTTCCCTCCCAACTACTGTCGCGCAGCCCACGCTCTGGACTCGGCTTTTAGGACGGTCTGTGGGATGGGTCGGGGTCGAAAGGTCAGTTGGGAACGTTACACTCGGATTATTTGACATATAGTAGCTATGGAAAATAGCCAATGTATATTTATGGATGAAAGTAAAATTGTGATTTTCCACAGCTACATTTAATATCCAGAGGGTACTATTACTACAAAAATCAGCGGTATCTCACTTGATCAAGGGGTGCCGTGCTGGACCCTGGATAGAAAAACTTGAGTCGCTTAAGCTGGATGTCGAAGTGGCCAGAGTTAGAATCAGAATTTGAGAACCTGAAGTTTGGGATCCAACCTATAAACCCAAGGATGTCAGCCGTAACTTTTAGCAGCACATTGCCAACATGGTTGGTTAGCCAATGTTAGCCATACTCCCATGATTGGCAGGTGGGATTCTCTCAGTTTTGCTGGTGATATACCTATAGCTGCAACTGGCCATCTGGTACTTGGATCATCTCTGAGCTCTGAAAAGTGGTTTGTAGCCATGCATGTTTGCAAGCCATTTTCATGGATCCACTCAGTTGGACTTCCTCGGCTTTGTGCCTTCAGGAAGTCACTTGGACGGGGAGTTGTTTGCCGCTTGGCGTGAACCCAAAGGCTGAAGCATAGCAGCCTGACACACTGTCGGTAACAGACCGCTTGTGCCTGGTTCTATTCTTTTTTGATACCCCTCGTAATTGTTGGTTCCGTCGATTTGTGATTGGATACAGATATACAGTGGTATATATACCCAAAAGCAAGCCATCCCTCGTATATTACCATAGATGGGTGGGATTCCAACCATCCCCAAATGGAAGGTTTATGGCAAAACGGGTTTATCCCGTCCTCGCAAAGGTTGCATCTTGGATTTTTTGCCCTTCTACGAGTTCAACCGCCGTAGAGTCCCACGATCCACGCTGCTATGAGAAATTATGAAGAATGGTGTCGGGCAGAACGCATTCAGTGTGCCCAATGTTCTTTTTGTTCAGGAACATAAAGGGTGTTCCGAAACCGCTGGCTTTCTCAATCCTTAGCTTCTTGATCATTTCGGATCGATTCGTGCAGTTTTTTGGTGGTCCATTTGGTGTCAATGTGAAGTGGCGACAGCACTTTGGGTTGCATTGGGGGTTCCCAAGAGAGCTGTGACACTACTGATTTTGTCTGGAGGCCACTTGGGCTTTTGAGGTTCCATAAGCAGGTGGACGTGTTCGGTCGACCTGTAGCCCCTTGCATCTATGACATGAACCAGTTCCAGGGGAAGATCCAAAAGAAGTTGCAGGCACAGATGTTGCTTCAACTTTCATCCCATCATCAAAGTGCTCGTCGGTTTCTTTGTTGTACACTTGCTGCGTCGCCACCCTGTCCTTTTCCATCTCCAGGGCATCAGTTCTTCCATTTTTTTGCACAGGAAGAAGAAGAAGAATGCGAGATCTTGGAGGGGGAAAGGGATGAAGAAGCTGAAGCTGAAGAAGCTGAAGAAGCTGAAGGGAAAAAAGAAGAGTTTCCCGAAATCAACGAAACCTGTTGGGCTCAGGAGCCGTAGATGTTGCTGGCAGAAATTCGGTGTGAGGATACAATCGATTGGTCTGGACGCAGGGAAGGCTTCTCTGCTTTTTGGGACCATCCAAAGGTTGTAGCCATCGCAAGCCCTTGGGACATTTGAGTGCAAAGGTTATAATGTCAACCCCGGATTAATAAACCATGGTTTATTAATTAGGGGGATACTCCTCCAATAGCCATAATCTAATACTTAAATGGTACCTTCCCAATTAAACAGCCCATGGGTTTATTAATCCAGGGTTGACATTAAGACTAAGACAAGTTTCTTTCTTGAGGTTTGGCGATGGTATTCATAAGGGGAACTTCTTTGCAAGGTGGATGTTTGATGTTTGCCCACGCCTCTTCCAGGCGTAGATAGGCTCAAAGGTGGCGCTTTCAACCACCTGCCACAGGACACGTCTCTGCGACTTGACCCAGTTGATCCCCCTGATGAATGTGAAGAGTGAGACAGGGTACCATGGTACCATTCGGCTGCTTAGGCGGATTCCTGCAATTCTCGGTGAGAAACTTCAGGGCTTCAATGACTTTTTTTTTGAATACAATTTTAGAGCATTTTTGGATGTGGTTTTATGTTTTTGTAAGTTTTGGAGGTCAATCCGCTAGACTGATCGGATCCGCGAATCAGGAGCTTGCTCGTTCGGAACACCCGCAGATGGTGGCTTGTGGTGCTACCAAAGGTAGACCCATGATGATTCACCGTGATCCAGCAAGCAAATATCACCGGTTGCTGCATCGAAGTTGTGGGTTAAGCACCTATTTCATTCCTATTTCTATCTATTTCTTTGTTCTTGATCTACATTTCTACATACATCTCCATGGTATATCATGGTCTCATGGTCATGATGGCAGGTTTTTTTTTCCCAGCCCATGCCAACTCGGTCCATCCCACTCGCACAATTGAGCGGTGTCAGATCGGCCCAGCTGCTCCGCTGCTCCGTCGGGGAGTTTTTGGGGGATGAAGACGACTCGGTAGGGCCCGGTAGGGCTGCTAGAATCTCAGGTTGATCTGGAGGCCAGCTGGGCGGATTTGTAGCTCTGTTTGACACCGCTCCTGCTTGAAAAATTGTGAAACCTCCGTCCGATCCAGATTGCTGGTGGCTGGTGGCTTCGCCGAAAAGAGGAGGTTGGGGCACCGGCCATTGCCTGGCAAAGGGAAAGCATGATGGGTGGGTTTGGAACTTGTTTCCCATCGTAGATGGTGTGTTTATCCAGGTCCATAGCGGCGAGAGTCAAAAGGGTCGACCCAGATTCACGCCGCATTCGACCATGGCTTTGCAGCTTGCAGCTCAAATGAAGAGCAGCCACATGATGGGCAGGTTTGAATCTAAGCCTTGGAAGATTGTAAACTCAGAATCTGTAGACTTGGCTTAGGAGTGGATTAGTGAAAGAGCCTAAGATGGCTGAAGTTTTTGGCCTCACAGCACCTGCCTCATGAGTATTTGCGACTCAACCTGATTCAACCTGGAAGCCGCATTTTCATTGCATTTTCCCTCAACAACTCGTCTTCCAGGTGTCAGGTTCTGAACATACTGAACCATGCTTGTTTGCCAAACACCCAATTCAAATTCCAAGATTTGCCAAAATCAGCTCCAGACTGGGTCAAATCTGGCCCCCTCGTCCACCTCGCCCGTTTGAATGGTGGAATTTCTGGATGACCTTCAGAACCCTCAAGCTTGCAGCTGCAGACAACGACTTCTCGCAGAACTCCAGGTCAAGCTGAAAATTATGTCATGTCAAGGGCATGTTTTGGTGTACAAGATGTGTGGACATATTAGATTCCGCAGTCATATCATGTATCATATATGATTTATAATAATTATAATATAATATATATAATATATATATATATATATATATCATATATATATATATCATATATGATATATACCATGTCTGTATGTATATATATATACAGTACATATACACAGGCACATACACTTAATTGTGAGTATGTATATATATATATGCATAATTATATAGTATCGAGAATACAGAATTTGACAATATATAAAACATCCCATTTTCTTTGCAAGCAAACAATGCACATCCTATGGTTTTTGGGTATCTAAGCTTGACCCATTTCGATTTGGGTCGTGAAACATCGACATTGTTGGTTGTTCGTGGATAGGACATCAAGAAATCCATACCCAATGTCAGAATCAGAAGGGAACAGCAATTTCAAGACATCCCATAATTTTTCCATTTTTCCCATGGTTTCCCATAATTTTTAATGGAAAAGATGAGGGTTTTCCCATGGTTTCCCTATTTTTCACTGGAAAAAAACCATGGGGATTTCCCGACGTTGAGCTCCGAGGCTGAACGACAGGAACTCCAAGAGGATGGGCTTCACTTGTTTGAGACCGCGCGCTTGACCCGGTGCCGGGTCCCAGCATTCGGCAAGGGGTTGAATAACAGTTTAAAGAAACAGAAACAGGTATATACATACGTATATATTTATATATACATACACATGCATGCATATGCATATGCAAACCACATCATCAGCAACCACAACGAAACAAAACTGAAAACAAAACTCTGATGCGCTTCAGTACGGGAGACCCACCACAGGGGTGTACAAAGTCTGGGCCTAGGTGATCCTGATCCCCGAAATGTGAAATTGTCAAAGACTGACACGCAGAAAAATATCTGTATACGTGTGTATATATATATATATATATTGTGAAACTTCCACAGTTTATTGTCCTGGTGAGCTTGACGGTTGGACCTCAGCTGCCATTTTGGCAGTCCTTGTTTTCCCATGGTCTTACATGTCAGGGAGGTTGTTTACCATTTGCACCTTGGCCGCAACTATTGGTTCACCTCCAGCGGTGGGCAGCGGTGCGGATTGAGCCATTGGTGGGAAAAGCAGCAGAGGCGTTGCTGCTGGTGGCTGCTGTTGAAGCGAGGCTGCTTCGCATTGGCAGCGGAGCCTGCGGGCTGGCGCTGGAGGAGGACTTCCAGAAGGAAAACTTGGTTGAGAAGGGCAAGTACCTGGTGAGGCGACTGGGTAGTGAAAAATAAAGGTGGAAGCGTCTTGGGAAGATGCCAGACGGGGCTGAGGGACAGCCTGGTGGAAGTGTGAGTGTGGAAGAGAAGACGAGCAACTTGTGGAGCTTGTTGCCGAGTTTCGACCCTAGTGTCGATAGCGCCAAAGAGTATGCGGACAAGGTGAAGTTTCTATGGGGCATATGCCCTGTGAAGGACAGAAGTATGTTGGCACCAAGGTTGGCTTTGCAGTGCAAAGGGACTGCATGGAGTCAGGTGAGAGCCATTGATGCGTCGAAGTTGACAGACCCTGAGACTGGTTACAAGGTACTGTTGAAAGCTTTGGAGACCTGGGAGGATGCCGAGGAACTTCAGACCTTTGACAAATTTGAGAAGGCGTTTTACCGAGTAGTCCAAAAGACAGACGAGTCAGCAATGTCGTTTGTCAACCGAATCAATGTTGCTTTCGAAGAAGTGGGCTCTGAAACAACCGTCCAACAAGTTCGAGCCTTCGTGATGTTGAGACAGAGTGCCTTGACTGTTGAGGACAAGAAGCGTGTGGTCTCTATGGCAGGCAACTATGATCCGTCGGCAGTGGAAAAGGCAATGAGGTCCCTGTCGACCAAAGTGCTTGGGCAGACAGATGCTGGACGCAAGAAGGTGTATCCAGCCAACTTTGTGGAAGAGGAGTTGGATGAAATTCACTATGCAGCTGAAGAAGAATGTGATGAAGAGCAAGCCTTAGCCATGCTCATCGAGGAAGGTGATGAGACAGCACTTGCCATACAAGAGTTCGAGGATCAGGTGATCCATGTTTGTCAGGATTCACCTGAACTGGCCATGGCGTTCTCCACGTACCAGGAGGCACGACAGAAGCTTCGAGACAAATTTCGCAGCCGAGGGTTTTGGCCCCTTCGTCATGGAAAAGGGAAAGGCAAGAACAAGTCAAAGAAGGGCAAAGGCCCCAGAAAGTATCAGAGTCTTGCAGAGCGCATAGCAAGCTCTACCTGTCGCGCCTGTGGAGCACGAGGCCACTGGAAGGATGAGTGCCCGCTGAAGGACAAGAATGTGACTGCAGATGCGAACGTGATCCTCACGGAAGAGCTCTCAGGGGGTGGTGAACTTCTTGATGAACTTCCTGGCCATGATCTTGCCAATTGGCAGGTGGGGATGTGTTCAAAATTTTGGTTGCCCACGATGGTGCCACCTGAGTACCATGTTGATAATGAAGAATTCAGTTTAATAGGTTCCCATGAAATGATTTTGCATGCGATCAACATTCCCAAAGGGAAGTCATGTTGTGAAAAGAGTTTGAAATATTTTCCCAAACTGAAAGAAATGTTTCGTCGAGCAATTGAGACAAGCTTCAGTGTCACTGGCAGGTCCCCTGAGTCAACTGAGGAAAGTAGGAATGGCAGCTTAGGTGACTCAGGCACTGGGATCATAGATGCCGGTGCAAGCAAGTCCGTGATCGGCGAAAAGCGAGTGAGTGCACTTTTGACTACTTTGAAGGCAGAACACCGTGAGATGGTTAAGTGGAAGGAATCTGAAACCGTTTTTAGATTTGGTAACAATGGTGTTTTGAAGAGTGTTGGTGCGCTGTTTGCACCGTTTGGGAAACAATGGATGAAAATTGAAGTGGTTCAAGGAACCACGCCTTTCCTCATTTCAAATGCCTTTCTTCATGCACTTGGCGCAGATGTTCTGGTGAGTAAATCCTGTTTGGAAGTGTCTTCTTGGGGAAAATCCGTGACACTCACCAGAAATGCCAAGGGGCTGTTTATTGTCAAGTTGTCAGACTTGATTGATGCGGCTAGCATGAGAAGTAATTCAGAAAAGTTCGAGGAAGTCATCACTTTGGCAAGTAGTAGAATTGAAAATCGAAGTAGGGAGGTTTACTGCACACACAAGCAGCAGCAGCAGCAGCCAAACACAATGTCAAGCACATCTTCGACGACTGCTACAGCTGCTGTGGCTCAACCTCAAGTTGACCGAGAACCAGATCGGCTTCAAAGTCAGTCCGCTCTTTCTCAAGCTGACAGCCATGACTCTTCCAAGTGCCTCGGGAACGCCATTTCCGGGACTCCAGACAGAGATGCTAGATGCGATGCTGTCCGGAGAAGTGGATGCCTCTCTGGCCTTCGAAGATCGACAACTACCAGAGATCAAAAGTCGTCGCCCTCCAGGTGTGATGACCTTGAAGGAGTGGGGTCAGTTGAAGTTCCCGGAAGGGAAGTGGCGGCACAAGTCCTTCTTTCAGGCATACCAGGAGGACCCAAAGTACGGCAAGTTCATGAAGGAGCACAGGAAACTGGTGTCAGCTTGGGCACTGAGTTTTCAGGCTTACGTGGAAGCCATGGACAGGATGCAGGAAGATTGCTCGAAGGCCTTCTACCAGGAGTATGCCAGACAGTGGGCCAAAGCCGAGATGTCCAAGATGTATCCGAAGGCAGAGATCGAGAAGAGTCAAGGACCAGCGTGGGAGCTGTTGACAGGAGGGGTGACATCGCGTCCGATGAGCACGATGTCATCACCAAGTCAGAAGCGCCCCATGGAAGAAGAGCAGTCGCAGATGGCAATCGAGGTGCAGCAGAAAGAGGAGATGATCACTCGCATGGCGATCTTGCAGCGCGAGATGGACAAGATCAAGGCCGACTTGGAGGGAGTCTGAATGAGAGGTCTAGCGTAGAGCAACTCGAGACAGATCAGCAATTGACCAACCAATTGCTCAAAAAGATTGAACTAGCAATGGGAACAATTGAAGCAGAGCTGACCTGTCTTCAAAAGATATGGCCGACGCTGACCGACTCTCAGACTTTCCAGAAGTTTGGAAGTGATCTTCTGGAGATCTATTGTGAAGAACATTCTCAAATCACAGAGCAAGCTTGTAAGCTGGGATTGAAGGCCAGAAGATTCACTTTCAGTGATGGAGATCTTTCTACACCAGAAGGTCAAGCTGCGCTTTGGAAAGTTTTGGAGGAAGAGCGACCGAGAGAAGTCTGGATGGCACCAGAATGCAAATATTGGGGCAACTTCAGTCGCAGAAACATGGGCAGGAGCAAAAGCACAGAACAAAGGATTTCAGAGGGTCGCAAGAAGCAACGTGTTCATTTGAAGCTTTGTAATTATGTGTATTGGTATCAGATGGATTGTGGTGGTCAATTTCATTTGGAACAACCCCAAGGGTCAGAGTTGATTTATCAGCCGGAAGTCTATGATATTTACTGTGGGACACTGTGGGACCCTGTGTACTGTTTTTGATATGTGTGAAGTTGGAAAACTACTTGCCCCACATGTGATGCGACGAGTGTCTGGAAACAATTTCCTTAGGAAAAGGACGCATGTCTACACTTCCTCAAAGATTTTCCATGATGCATTTGACCACCGATTGTGTCCTGGGCATCATAAGCATGCTCCAATTGCTGGCAAGATCTATCATTTGGGTCGGTGGATTTCTCTCTCGGAATATGCTGCAAGGTACACCTCCGGTTTTGGTAGGAATGTGGCAAGGTATGTTTCCTGTAGGTTTGATGAGAAGCCACTGGTTTTGGATGAGTTGCATGTTTGTGATGTTGATGAAGCTTTTGTTGCCGGAGTTGTCAAAAGAAAAAGAGTGTCCGCTGCAGCAGTTCCAGAGAGCTTAGTAGAGCCGGTTTCAGCAGAAGTGAAGCGTCCAAGGTATCACTGCAAACAGGCACCAGCAGGTGACCACGGATGTGCAGCCGGTGAATATTGGGATGGCATTTTTAAGAAAATTGAAACCATGGTTCCACGGGTAGGCAAACGTGCTTGGATGATGATGAGGTTTTCGCTCAGATTCAGAAGGGGGCCCCAAACTTGAAGGTTCAGAGGGTTGAAGCCTGTAGGGGAACTGAGAGGTTGCGCCTTCCTGGAGCTGATGCGGACCCAGAAACCATCCCGTTGAGATTGACCGTGGTCAAAGACCGCATCACGGGTCAGTCAATGGTACTTGGCCCAGCTGAGGAATGGGCTGCTCTGCCAAAAAGGCAGCAAATTCGAAAGGGTCAATCTGCAAAGATGAGCCTCACCATTTTTGGAAGTTTTCCAAAGTCAGGGGAGCTTGAGACAATGGGGTCTGATAAGGAAGCAGGTACTGGGGATGATGGTGAAGATGCTGTTGTGGTAAGTAAAGACCCTCCCAAGAATGTTCCGGTTCATGGCCCAGGGTACATGTTGTTGAATGGTGATGAAAAGGCTCAGATTCGGAGGTTGCATCACAACTTAGGCCATCCACATCCACAGAAGTTTGCCTGGTTTTTGAAGGAAAGGCGTGCGGAACCTCATTTGGTTCAAGGAGCTCTGGATTATCAGTGCGACAGTTGTGCGGAAACAAAAGCTGGTCCAGACTCCACCCGTCCTGGCACAATTCATGAGAATCTGGGATTCAATCAAGTGATTGGTATGGACACTGCTGTTTGGACTAATAGTGTTGGTAAGAACTTTCAGTTTTCTCATATCATTGATGAAGGGACTTTGTTTCATGTTGGTTCTCATGTTGTCAGTGCGGACACAGATTCTCAAATTCGAGTCTTTGAGAAATGTTGGATGTTATGGGCTGGCACTCCACAAGTTGTGTATGTTGATCCTGGCACGGAATATACGGCAGAAGCATGGCAGGACAGAATGCAAAGGCATGACATCCATGTCAAAGTCAGTGCAAGTGAAGCACACTGGCAACTGGGGAGAGTGGAAATTCACGGATCAGTTGTGAAGAAGATGTTGAGTCGCATGGATTTGGAGTCACCAATAAACTCGGTTGGGGAGTTTGAGCAGGCTTTGGTTCATGTGTTCAATGCCAAGAACAGTTTATCCAGAGTGAAGGGATACTCTCCCGAACAAGCTGTCCTTGGAATTGCCAAAAGATTGCCTGGGTCCGTTGTCTCTAGTCAGGGGGTAGGAAGTATAACTCTGGCTGAAGGGACTGGTCCCGAGAGCGAAGCCTTTCGAGCCAGTCTGGAAAGACGCAGCAGTGCACGCAGAGCTTTCATAGAAGCTGATAATTCATCCAGTCTTCGTCGTGCGCTTTTGAGGCGGACTCGGCCAATGCGAGGACCCTTTGAAATAGGAGATCTTGTGTTGTATTGGCGTAGGAGGGGTGCCAATCTACGTAGAGATCGTGGTCGCTGGTATGGGCCAGCGAGTGTTGTTGCAGTCGAAGGGTCCAAGAATGTTTGGTTGAATCATGCTGGAAAGCTAGTGCGCACGAGCCCTGAGCAACTTCGTGCAGCCAGTTTTCGGGAGTGGAAGCAGGCCAAAGAGTTGCTCACAGAGTCTGGCCCAGGGAACTCAGATTTACAGAGAGCCCTCAATGATGGCAGTTTCATTGATGTAGATGGGGAGGATTTTCCTGACTGGGAAGCTGAAACAGAGGGATATGACCCATCAATTGGGGAGCCCGAAGGGGAGTTGTCAGTTCAGCCACCTGGGACACCTAATGGGGAGTTGAGCAATCAGTCTGAACCGCCTCAAGGAGTGGAACAGTCAGAGAATGAACTCCCTGATTACGTGCGTGTGCCGGTTCCAGAAAGTGTCAGTGAGTCCGATGGTGATGCCTCACAGGCGGGCGTCAATCTTGAACCAACGGATGACCTTCTGTTTGGAGATGACATCACCATGTCTGCAGATGATAGGTGTTGCCAGTTCTGGGAGATTGAAATTCCTGTTGAAAACCATGAAGAGCATGCACTGTTTTGCGCTGGATCCGCAGATGAAAGTGTGTTGTTGGTGACTGGAGCAAAGAAGAAACGAGTTGAAGTCCGTTTGAGTGATTTAAGCAGTGCTGACCAACAGCGCGTGGCGGTGGCCAAGCACAAAGAAATAGGCGCCTGGCTCAAACATGGAACTGTGAGAAAAGCATCCAAAGGAAAAATTCCTGAGGAAGCAATCATGCGCTGCCGATGGCTGCTCACCTGGAAATCAGCCTCACCTGAGGATCACCCCAAGGATGTGAGTGAGGGTCGTAAGGCAAAGGCCCGGTCGATTGTTGTTGGATACGAGGATCCTGGAGTTGGGGTGGTTCAAAATGATTCACCCACACTCACCAAAGATGGAAGACAGATGGTGGTGCAACAGGTGAGTAGTCATGGTTGGGAACTAGTTTCCTTCGATGTCTCAACTGCCTTTCTTCAAGGCGAAGGAGACGGCCGCTTGCTTGGTTTGTATCCCACCCCAGAGTTAACAGAAGCCCTTGGGTTGGAACCTGGTGATCAGTGTCAATTGGTAGGTAGTGCGTATGGTCGTGTTGATGCTCCTTATTTGTGGTATTGTAAGTTTCGTGACTCGTTGTTGCAGGAAGGTTTTAAACAGTGTCCTTTTGATCCTTGTGTTTTTACTCTTGTTTCTGTTGATGAAAAGGGGAAAGAAAGAGTTCATGGTTCCCTAGGGGTTCATGTCGATGATGGCATTGGGGGTGGGGACAACATGTTTATGGCAGCCTTGGAAAGAGTCAGAAAGCGTTTCAGTTTTGGATCATTTGAAAAAGGGTCCTTTGTCTTCACGGGCATAAGGTTTCAGCAGTGGGATGATGGCAGTGTGGAGTATGATCACGTTGACTATATAGAGAAGATTAGGCCAATTGAAATCCCAAAACAGAGACGTACCAATGCTGAAGCTGCGCTGAGCCCGAGTGAAGTGACGCAGTTGCGAAGTCTTGTTGGAGCTCTGCAATATGCAGCAGTCCATACCCGTCCCGACATTGCGGCCAAAGTTGGAGAGATCCAAAGTAGGGTGGCAAAGGCAACAGTCGATGACATGATTTTTGCAAATCGAGTGTTGCATGAGGCAAAGGTTCACCCTGTGACTTTAATGACATTGCCGATTGCCCCTGAACAAGTGACTTTCTGTGCCTTCTCCGATGCCTCGTTCCTTTCAGGAAAAGAGAAATATGCCCATCAGGGAGGTTTGATTTTTGTCACGACTCCAGAGTTGCTGGAGAACAAGAGATCAGTGGTAGCACCAGTAGCTTGGATGAGCAAGAAAATTCAACGGGTGACTAGGAGCACCTTGGGGGCTGAAGCAGTGGCATTGAGTGGGAATGTTGATCGTTTGTTGTGGTTGAGGATTCTGTGGCAGTGGTTGAATAACCCCTCGATTGAATGGCAGTCCCCCGAGAAAGTGTTGCACGAAGCCCGACAAGCTGCTCTTGTGACCGACTGTAAGAGTGCCTATGACCTTCTGACTCGCACGGCCGTTCCACAGTGTGAGGAGCATAGGACCACCATTGAGTGTTTGCTCATCAGAGAAAGATTGCAGGCCAATTGCGTAGTGAGATGGGTTACATCAAATGCTCAGCTTGCAGATTGTTTGACAAAGAGCATGGATGCAAGCGTTTTGCGACAGTGTTTGAAGAGTGGTCGGTATTCTTTGTTTGATGAAAATCGAGTGTTGCAACAGAGATCTGACAAGCGACAGCGTTTGAAATGGGCCAAAGAAGTGACGTCCAAGTCTCCAGAAAATGAGACAGTTTTGAAATGTACAGAAGAAGTCCGGCAGGACACATGGGAACAGGACTCAAGTGGCCAGGTTATCCGCGTACATCATGTCCCAAGATATCAGTTGTTTTCTCCTGTAGGAATTCTGGATTGTCCTGTTGATCTTAGAACCTTGGGGTTGGAGAGAGTAACTCATGGTTGTGATTCGAACGGGCATAGATGGTACAATAAGGATTTTTGGCCTGGCACGAGAGGACATGCAAAGATGTCAAACCTCTGGACAGGTAAGACCATTTTTAAAGTAAGGGGTGTGTGAAACTTCCACAGTTTATTGTCCTGGTGAGCTTGACGGTTGGACCTCAGCTGCCATCTTGGCAGTCCTTGTTTTCCCATGATCTTACATGTCAGGGAGGTTGTTTACCATTTGCACCTTGGCCGCAACTATTGGTTCACCTCCAGCGGTGGGCAGCGGTGCGGATTGAGCCATTGGTGGGAAAAGCAGCAGAGGCGTTGCTGCTGGTGGCTGCTGTTGAAGCGAGGCTGCTTCGCAATATATATATATATAAATATTCACGGTTATAGAATTTATATATATATATAATATATATTTATCCCAGCAGAAACCATGCTGGTTCGGTTCGAGTGTCTCCTATGGATAATTGAATAACCCGAAGTAGGGGGACTTTCTATGGCAATGTATGGAATACGCCCGATTTCCTGATGAACGACACGGTGCTGCCCGTACCAATCACCCGAATAGTGGAATTTATCCTTGCATCAGCAGATAGAATTCTGCCAAATCAAAGACAGATACTGGTGACCTGTGATCATCATGATTGTTATCCTTGCCCCCAATGACACGATCCTTACTAATGTTAGCTGTCCATCATTAATTGCATCGGCTTGAAACTGACATTTTACGGGCTGCATCCCATTGTTGATCCTTTTCTGCCACCTGTTTGTGATGTTTTTCCAATTTTCTTGTTGATATTCCAGGGTTCCAACCTTATTATTGTTATATATATATATTATCATCATCATCATCATCATTTTGATCGTTTCTATTATTATTATTATTATTGTTATCATTACTTTTTAGTATTGTTATGATTATTGTTATTTGTATCTTACAAACTTCAGCCCATCAAACGCCTTCTGGAATTCTCACTTGCTTCTTTCCCCAATGGAACCCTGAGGTTTTTGCAGGGCAACAATGGTTCGGCCGAAGAGGCCGCAAACCACTTCCGGCGCATGCTGGAGTGGTACCGGAAGGCGCATCTGTTTTGTCTGCAGGGGTGTGTCTGAAAATTTGTATGTCCCCGTCCGATGGCCGTTTAAAAAAGTGGTACTAGGGAAAATGATGATGATGATGATGATGATGATGATGATGATGATGATGATCCACCGACTTTTTTTGGGCCCTATGTTCAGACAAACCCATATGACGTAGTGTCATTTCATGTGAGCATGAGTAGGGGTCCCTTTGAACTCGCTATGACCATTCCAATTACAAACGAAAGGGACCACCTGAGTTCCCTCTCCATTTTTGCACGTTGGTTTGGAGCAATAACCCCGTCCGACATCTGTGAACCTTGTCAGGCGGACATGAACAAGAAGCGCCTGGTGCTGGAAGGTCAAGAGTCTCGGCAGCCATGGCAGAGAAGTTTGGATCCATGGTCCATGGTGAGAAAACCGGGACATGTTGGGTTATAAGTGGTTGAAACATGGTAACTCAGGTTGAACCTCCAAAAACATTTGGTTACAACATATTCATACATATTCTATGTAATTATATAACATATTACAACCCAGTTGATATTCAATCCTAACATCAGATATGATGCTAGTGGGGGTTAGCTTCTCAGGGAGCAGCGAACTGCCGGATTTCGCTCCGCCTGGTGCCTGAGCCGCTCGCGAAACTTGAAATAGGATCCTGTCTTCAAAAAAATCGATGTCAAAGTTGTATCTTTCTACTTACGGTATCTTTCGACCCCAACCATCCCTTGCAGCACCATTTTTTGGTCCCTCGGCTTCCCAAAAAAAATCTGTGGGGAACTCCGAGTCCAGCGCCGCGCAGCGCGAGTTCAGCGCTGCGCCGAGGCCTGGAACGTGGATTGCGTGGAGGGCGGTCGAAAGCTGTTTGAGATGATGTGCATCGATGCCACGCGCCAAAGTCCTGATGGAACCATGTGCCTTCGGATTAAAAAACGGCTTGTGAGGGCTGGGTGGACTATATTTGGAAAAATTGCATAGCTATCAAACGAATGGGCTCCAGCTCTACAGCTGGTGTCTGAGTTCAAGGATTTTGCAGGAGGAACCAAACCATACCAAACCCGTCTCACGGATGGGTTTTTGTGGTAATTTATACCAAATCAGCATTGCTCAACTCAAGCTATATCGGATTGGAATCGAAGACCCATGGAATTAGAGATCAGAGATTTTGATCAGAGAACAAGCTGTACATTTTGATCCACACCCATACTTTCATACCAAAAAAAAAATGCCATTTTGGAATTCTGTCCTAGTCATTGGGAGCGTCAGTGGTGATTACTTGGCCAGGGCTCAAACTCAGTGCGGAATGCATTTGCTGACTCACGTGTGGCCGTGGCTCAACTTTCCTCCCCCGAAATTGACAATTTAATTTCCTTCACATGACCATGGCCAAGTTAGTTTGTCCAAAAATGGTATATACCGTATATACCCAAGTGTGAATTGCGATTCAATTTTAGGGCTGGAAAATGAGGTTCAAATCCACTGGAGCAGTTAATTAAATGCATTTTCCTGAAGATTCTTGGGACCCAACTTGGGCCATGGGTTCTAGAATGCTCATCGCTTGCCAGGCTTTGGATCCAAAGAGATGGTCTGGTCCAAATTGATGAGATCATGGCTGTGACCGACGAGGCGAGGTTTCCCAAAATGGAGCTTTCCAATAGGGATCCCCTAGTCATCACCCAAGTCATTAGAGCCTTGTAGTATTGAAACCTATGGTTTTGGGGATCATTTTAGGAAACCTCCAAATAAGCTGTTGGGTTCCTCTACAGAGACATTCCCAACAGCAGAAAACTCTTGGGTTTCAATCTCTGGGTCTTGGACTGGTGGGGTCCTGCAACCCTTGCTGCTGTTGGGTTTCAAAGCAAGGTTAATTATGCTTTTCTGTGATAGACCATGGGATTTTGGGATGCAATTTTGGAGGGAACCCCACATGAATCCTTAATTAGTTTAACACCCTCAACTGTAAAGGCACAGGTTTTCTATAGCACTTCCATAAGATAATCAATCCAGTTATCGACATTCTCCCTCTTAGAATCACTGTTTTGACTAACTTGTTTGGTAAAATCGATTAATTATCAACAGCAGTGACTGTTGCGTTTCAATCTCGGAGTTTGCAAAACCGTGCCTCGTTTGGAACACTGGAACCCAATTGAAATCCTGAAACATGCTGGGTTGCAAAGCTGGTTTTAGTTAAACCCAGGAATACTCCCCCAGTTTGCTCATTTGCGGGGGGACCAATTTCGGGGATTGGCATCTTGGTTGACATTATGGGTTGCCATTATTTTATTTGGTTGCTAAAAAACGCCTCGATACCATCACAAACAGCCCAATTTTCCAATGTTTTCCTTATTTTCAAATGGTCTGTAATGATATTTTACTGTTCAAAAACACATGAAACGCCATTTAAAACACGCCATTTAAAACACGCCATTTAAAACACGCCATTTAAAACACGCCATTTAAAACACGCCATTAAATGAACATGAACAGTTTTTGATGGTTTAATGGTTCATTTAAAACACATGAAACACCCGCACCATGAATGAACCAGGACTTGGTCCATCGGATGAGTCTGATCTGCGACCTGGAACCAGGGAGGTGACATAAAACGATCTAGCTATCTATGGTCTTGCGTGTATATATATATATATGTATATGTATATGTATATGTATATGTATGATATATAGGATGATACATCTGATATATATGCATATGGCTATGGATCAATACCTATTAATACCATGTTTATACCTATTAATACAATTTTTAGTGGGATGAACACCCATTTACCAGCTATTTTGATGTTCACCAGGGGTACAAGGTTTTGACACACTGCCATATATGTATATGTATATGATATATAGGATGATACATCTGATATATATATATGTCTATCTAGTCTATCTATAAATCGTTCCATCTATGCTGGCTGTTGGCTTCACACGTTTTGATTCATTTAGACAGCTACAATTTGGGATGATGATCTGAACTGGCTGATGTATTGGTTGAAATCGCCAACAGTGATAGCTATGACACAGTGGATATCATGACCCAGCCGCTAGATGTATTCCAAGGAATGGGGTTTAAATGAAACCAATTGGGAGGTCATCGAACAAATCATTCCAATTAGGGGTGTATCCAATCATAACCCCCAAATGGGGAACTATGGCAATGGGTCTATGTCATTATGTTTTTTTTTCTATACTTACCCTCTGGTAAACTAACATAGCTATGGAAAATCACCATTTTCAATGGGAAAATCCACTATAAATCACCATTTTCAATAGCTATGTTAAATTACCAGAGGGTATTCTTGAAGATCAAAAACAAGATCCTTTCTAGGCAGGTTCGCGGCCGTGTTTGGCCAGCGTATACGCAAGCGTACCCCCAGGGCAAAAAGAACACTTTTGATTTTTACCGTTTTTACTGCGGATGTTGGTATATAGAAATTTTCGATTTTTACCGTTCAACACAATAAAAAAAAATGAAGAAAGTTGACATGTTGAGTCATTGTTAAAGCAACGGGCTCAACATATGAAGAAAGTTAACTTGTGGAGTCATTTTTGCACATTTACCCCCCCTCAACCCTGCAAAGCAATACATTTAACATATGAACGAAGTTGACATGTTGAGTCATTGTTATGAATTGACCCCCCTGTCCCCTACAGAACACTACGTTCAAGATGTGAACCAACTTAGCATTTTGAGTAATGAGTAATGATTAGTAATGTTTAACATGCACTTCCTTCAATACGTTGAACACATGAAGAAAATGCGCATCTTGAGTCATTCTTCAAATTTACACCCCCCACCGACTCTACAAAGCAACCCGTTCAACATATGGAGAAAATTGTCATTACCCCCCCGACCCTACAAAGCAAAAGGTTCAACATATAAAGAACGTTGACATGTGTTTTTCCCCACACAGGTTTACCTGTATGGGGTTCTTATTCCTTTCAAAGGGTTGCATGCCTGGGCCGCATGATTTTATTCTTGTCTTCCACTTGCCTCCCACATCTCATACAATGAGAAAAAAAGAACATTTCGATTTTGACCGCTTTTTCTGAGAGATTGGTAAGTTTTTCCTTTTCTACATTTTTTTTCTGAAAAAAAACAAAACAATACCATCAAGATATCTGAGAAAACGGCAACAAATACGTTTTGCGATTTTAACGTTTTTACCGCGGATGTGCCTAAGAGAAATCCCGTAGGCACAAACACAGCGCTTAACCACCACAGAACATGTCCAAAGAATGGACTCCAACAGAACACGTCCAAAGCTAAACCAGGATTGCTACTTGGTGCATCCCATTTTGTAAGTGGTTAATCATCGTTAAAAATCCAAACATCTCTATAGTGACTATAGGTGTCTTATTTCATACTCAAAACATGGCAATTGCTTTTTTGCGGGGCGGAAATGGTCATCACCAGTTGTAGGGCCTTGTAGAAGTTCATATCCCCATTACGTTGGACATCCCATTCTAGATGGATGACCCATCCCCAACATGAATCCAAACTGTGACCATGACCCATAATCATATTCCAATTAATATCCAATTGATATAGGGATTAATATGCCAATTCATACCACTCCTGTGTATATCTATAAATATACGTGATTGTGAGATATATGATATATATATAGAGCTTGCAGCTCTCCAATCTATCCATTGATTTCAGCTGTGTGTTGAATTCCTCCTGGATGTTTCTTTCCCCTTGATATGGCTATGAGTGAAAACCCTGGTACCCTAGCCCCAGCTAGCTGGTTAATGGGCATATATATATATATATATGGTGCAGCGTTGGCCACCCCCCCTCCCCCCCCCACCAATGGGTATGGGTGGACAGTATCGTTTGGTTCTTCTGGTCCCCCCCCCCTGTGGCCTGTGGTGGTGGTATGGTTCTTCTGGTCCCCCCCCCTGTGGCCTGTGGTGGTGGTATGTTGGTATGTTGGTATGTTGTATGGGTTGGATGTTGGTATGTTGGTATTTGGTATTTGGTGTTGGTATGTTGGTATGTGGTATGTTGGTATTTGGTATGTTGGTATGTTGGTTATTTTTGGTATGTTGGTATGTGTTATGTGTGTATGTGATTGTGTATTTGTATATGTGTGTGTATGTAGTATGTATATGTATTATGTTATGTATGTGTGTGTATGTGTGTATGTGTGTATGTGTATGTGTGTATGTGTGTATGTGTGTATGTGTGTATGTGTGTATGTGTGTATGTGTGTATGTGTGTATGTGTGTGTGTCTGTATATGTATGTATGTATGTAATGTAATGTAATGTAATGTAATGTAATGTAGGTATGGTATGGTATGGTATGGTATTGTATTGTTATGTTATGTTATGTTATGTTATGTTATGTATGTATGTATGTATGGAATGTAAGGTAAGGTAATGTAAGGTAAGGTAAGGTAATGTAAGGTAAGGTAAGGTAATGTAAGGTAAGGTAATGTAATGTAATGGTATGTATGTATGTATGTAGGTAAGGTAAGGTAAGGTAAGGTAAGGTAAGGTAAGGTAAGGTAAGGTAAGGTAATGGTATGTATGTATGTATGTATGTACGTAGGTATGTAGGTAGGTAGGTAGGTATGTAGGTATGTATGTATATACACCACCACAGGGGCATCATACCCCCCCCCATCCCATGGGGGGGGGGTGGGAACACGGGACACGGGACCATATATATCCACATAGTTATTATATATCCATATAGCTGTTAATAGCCATATTGACTAGCCGGTTAATGGAAGTTTTTCCCCCAACAGCAAAACTTTGCTATGGGGTATTTAGCCCGCTGAGGCTCCAGAGGGTTCTGTGCGCTTCCGGAGGGTTCCGGTGCAGATACCTTGTGAAATTCCAAAGGGTTCCCATGTTTTTTATGGCATAAGCGCCACAATTTTTACGGCATAAGCACTTTTTATGGCAAAAAGGCAGAAGCTTTCAAGCTGTTGGGGATAGCACCTGAGTTTATTTTTTTTAACAATAGGCTTTGGCCAATCCCCATATATCCTTAGGTGAACTTCGAGAGATGCACCTGGACAGATGCAGCGAGGAATCACAGCGCCTGGTGAAGTTCGTTCAGGTGGTGTGCAAATTGGGGACTTCATGGAGATTAATTGGGATTTGATGGGGATTCATTGGGATTTGATGGAGATTCAATGGGATTCACTTGGAATATAACCGGACATAGTGGAATGCAATGGGGATATATCACCAGCAATATGGTGGGGTGTGTCTGAAAAAGGGAACTTTAGCAGAAGGAAACACTTCTAATGCTAGGAATATTGTTATTAACCAGTCAATTTTAGCGTTTTCCCTTAATTTGCAGACACACCCAGGTATAAAAACAACCGCAGTAAGTATGTTAGTGATCATGGCCACCAGTTCCGCGCATGAAAATCTGGCATGGCAGGTCCGCGATCTCACGGGGTTAAACATCTCCGCAGTGGTGCGAAACCGTGCCGTGATGAAACGCAGCTGGGTGTCAATGGAATGGTCTACAGAGTTTACAGCGCCGTTTTTTTTGTTGCTAATCTCTGGTAAATGGTAGGTCTTTTTTGTATTTTGGGCCGCCAAGGCAAAAGGGGGTCCTAGGTGCTGACGCCCAGGGTTTCACTGTTTGAAGACTTTGGAAAGCCACATTTTTTAGAACACAGCTGTTTGGTTTGCAGCAATTCATCGTGTTTATATAATTTTTTTTTGACATTCATTTTCCTTCCATTCAATGAATGCCCCTTTTTCTGCGCACACGTTTTTTGTTTGAGGTCTTGCAGACGTCTTTAAGATCATCAGTACAGCCTATCCTGAGACCTTGTCCAAAATGATTATTGTGAATCCACCTGCTGGTGACTTGGCAGATCTTGGCAGAGGCCGGAAGCTGCAAGCCGCAGTTGTTGAGGGCTCACCTGGATGTGCTTAGGATTCAACATGCTCTGGATGGCTGTACAGCCAATGCTGAACCAACGAATCAAGCAGCGCCTCGATATTCTCAGCACGGGATGTTGGTTGGGGGGAAGTATCACATCTATAACTATAGATTGTTGTATATCTTTATCTGAATTCTTTATCATACCAGTATTTACATTCTTTCCTATTTCGAAATCTACATCACTATTCATCTTGATGTATACATATCTGTGCACACATCAAGATGTCTCGTGGTTTTATCCTGGCCTGTTTTCTTCCCAGGAAGTTCGTCTTCATCCCTGACGGGCCCTTCGAATTTCCTCAGAAACTGGCGGCCATGACGGGCACCTCTGCGTTACAAGCGCTCGCAGACCTCGGAGCCCGGGATCTGGGAGGGGTGGGGCGATGAGACCATACCACGTTTACCCTGTTTTGACCATGGCACATACGAGGTTCCTGGGAGAGAAACTGTCAAGAAGTGAGGGGAGATCCAAAAGTCAGGATTTATGGATTTAAACAACAAAGCTGGGGATGCAAACTACGAATGATTGGTTAGTTGGTTGGTTGGTTGGTTGGTTGGTTGGTTGGTGAGTTGGTGATTACTGTAATCCCTTCTGCCGATCACAATAACCCCTGATTTTCAACTACATTCCACTAGAGTTTCCAGAGGGTGATAGGATGTGGTAGGGGTTTTGAATATGGTTTATGACAGAAGCTGTTGGTTTCCAATTTTTTTTCGCGCCTGAAAAAGCCCGATGGAGAATCCGTTCCCAGATGTCGGAGTCATCGGCAGGAGAGAGGGATGCGTCCATGGATTGGCCTCCGGGGAGGTCCAGTTTTCAGTGCCCGATGCGATCGGATCGGATCGGATCGGGATCGATGGATAAAATTCTGCGCATTGCACGGACACACACTGCTGACACATCCACCCATAAACCTGTGCAGATCTCGGTGTCAGCTTGGGGCGCCAGCCCTCTGGTAATGGCACAGTTGGTCCACCATGAGCGCTGACTACAAAGCTATCTCTAGTCCAGTCCTGCGAGGTACCGCGTGCTTTCCCCAGGGTGCAAAGCACAATGGTTCTTTGAAGTGCAGCCCCCCGGGTGCTACCTGCAGCTGCAGGTGCTTGGCGGCATTCGAGTGGGTGAATTACTTGAGTTGTGCCGCTTTGTCTCACCCGCAACGTCGTCCAGCTACATAACACAAGTATATCATGCATTTATATGCATTTATACCTTCAGAGTTGGTCGGAAAACAAGTCTCCACCCAGGGACAAAGTAAGATTCTACGAAATCCTAACAAGAAGTCTTTGAGATGCACGACGTGAATTCTTCCCAAACACACCAGAAGGATCCGTTTTTGTATGGCTCAAAAATATGGTATGCATGGTTGTTTTTAGCATTTAGCGATGCATTTTTTCGTAGAATTAGTTTTGGATTACATACCCATTCTACATACATAGAATGATTGGTTTTACACCATGTACAGTACTGAGTTTTGCAACCCAGCAGCAGATTGTCGGGTTTCGGATTCCAGCGGTCCGGTTCCATTCCATTTTTTTGGCCCTGCAAAGACACGAACCAATGCCGGACCCAGAGATTGAAATCCAACAGAACAGCTTGGTTTTATACCCCCACTATACCAACAATATACTGTACCACCATTATATCACCTACCACCGTTCTACCACCAATTTTGAATCATTCACAGCCCATTCTCTTTGGGGCTTCGTCAACTTCCTAAAAGCGAGGTGATTTTTTTCGAGGAGGTCGAGGATGGCCGACCCAGTCTCTGGTCGTAAGAATGGAGATGGAAAAAAAATCAGGACCTTAAAAAAGGATGCTTATGTTGAAGAAACTCCTGGTGTAAAATGATGTTTTGACATGATTTAACTTGATTTAAGAATCAAATATGGTGTTTTTTAGCATGTATATTGAAAACTTATGGAAAATCATATGGATTATGTAGATGAATTATATAACGACCTCACTTGAATTATGGTTCATATATGGGGGAATCATGCCCATATGCCTTGATTTCAGGTTTGTGATTTGGTATATTGAGTATATTGTATCCGAGAAACATATGATATTCCAAGACAATATTCCAAGCGGATGGAATAGCAGTTGCACATGACCAGAATTGTGGGGTCGTTTTATTCAATCGAACGGGGTTGCTCAGGTCTTCTGTTAGGTAAGTTATCCTGTCAGCATCGAGTACTGTTAGGTAAGTTATATTAAGTCAGGGGTCTCTGAACTTGGCCATGTTTTTCCTGTTGCGGACAACGGGTTTTCCAAGAAGTGACGCTGAAGACGGGCGACATGTGCACATGATAGTCGCAAAACCCTTTGATTTTGCTCCATTTGAGCAGTGACATTTTCAGGCTGTGGCCGGTATGGCCGTATTCCATGGGACCAATGGTGCCAGAAATGCACGTGCCGGACACCATTCCGACGATTCCGAGGTCCTGTGACCCATGAAGTCTTCCCAATGCAAGGGGTGACAGGCCCGGCCCTGGATCTTTTGAATCTTTTGCAACGCTGAAAGGATGATGATGAGGATACACTAAGCACAAACTGATTTTATGAGTGTGTTCAAGTTTGGTCAAGTGTGTTCATCTTGTCAGAGATCAACAAGAGGAACAAGAAGCTCCGGCCTTCCATTTTGCGCTTCTGCGCTATGTTTCATGGATTACATGCCTGAAACCCTTCCACCACTCAGTGTGTCATCACTTTCAACATGTCCCACCAAAGTGGTTGGCCCGTGGATGAAGCGGCTCGACCCCCAATATTAGTATCAAAAAAACAGGTGGATTCCCAAACATTTGACCATGCAAGTGTAAGATGTAGCCAAGCTCGTGGCACTCAAATCAGGTGCCGTTTCTGGCCATTGTGGACCGTTGGGCGTTTCTGGACTTCTATGGTTCACCTGGAGCAATGACAGTTGCTGGCCTTGATATGATTCTGGGTTAGGGTGCTGGCCCTGAAACATCCCACTGGGAACATGCTGACGCCCCGGGCTTGGTGAGGTTGGACCTCCACCATGAAGATCGCCGATTTGAAGATCACGGTGGATAGCTCTGGGGAGGATGAGCTGGTGCGCAATCCTTCGTCGTCCTCTGTGCTGATGCAGTGCCTTGGAGATGCTGTTCTTTGGTAAAACCTGACTGATGGCGGGTGCAGGTGAAAATGGATTAGTCATTTCATAACTTGTTGGGGTTATATGTGGGAATATTTGAGAGCCGCATGCAAGTTGAAGATGCAAACCAAACATATGAACCGGTCTTCATTGTTTCTATCAACCTTCATTCATTGATGTTGACGATCTCCCCGTTCTGTTATTTTCTTTACTTCCCACTAATTTGCATCCCCCAAATGTTCTTGTTGTTCATCATCCTCAAGGCCTCCAGATTGATTAAATCAGTACCCTAAGGAAGCGACAGCGGGGCGCTGCAAGTGTGGGGGCTGGTTCCCTGCTGAGCCTCAGCTGCTGCCTGCCGTGGTTTTGGGAGACCGAGACTGAGGAGGACTTCGGAGAGTCATCCCAGGTGCTGCGGCACCACCGGCTGCGCCTGAACCGAAGGGGTGGTAGGGGGATGGTAGGGGAATGGTCAAAAAAGTGGTGATTTCCATTGTTTCTTCGCGTTTCTCTGGTTGAACCCACCGATTTTGGCTCCGCTGAGGCGGCATCACTTCGACAGTCCCAGGGTTGTGAGGGAAGAGAAGCCAACACCGGCGGAAGAGCCGCCCGAGGAATGTGGCGACTCGGCCAGGAAAGGTTGGGGGAATAAGGTCCAAGGGGTCATAAACTGATGGGTATCTAGAAATGATCTATTCCCTATAGCAATATATTTCCACTATTGATTTAATTTAATGTACTTCAATATTCATCCCGAGGGATTTCCTGATCATTTCAGGGTCTTTTCACGGCTTGTTTTGACGTTTTGCCGGATGCTTTCGACCTTGGAGCCTCGGATCCATTGGCTTCAACAGGATCCCCCAATCAATGTGCCGTGATGGTGCATTCTTGTGAAACATCGAGGTTTGAGGCTTCATTTATCCCTGTTGGGACCCGGAGGTCATGGAAATTTCAAGACAAACTTCATTTCACATCTACAGCTGGCAGTGGCCCAAAAGCCGAAATCTCTTCTATACATAGCCCGATTGGATGGGTTGAAAATCCAGCTGATTTCAGATGATCCCAATTGTTTTGAGGAGTGGATGAACCCAAATGACATGACTTTTTCACAGCCAAGGGAGCACCATAGATGATTAGATGACGAGTCCTTTTTTTTTTGTCCGAAGATAAACTAAACTGATGATGATGATGATGATGATGAGGATGAGGATGATGATGAGGATGAGCACCGTGGCACCATAGATTATTATTGAATATTATTGATGAAATCCTAAACTTTGGCTGCTGATATCACCATTTTTGTTGCTGAAACCTGCGATTTTGTTGGCAAATAGTCAACTCTTTGGTCTGAGTCGCAGTGTACTTCCATCACTGCCACCCCATATCACCATATCATTGCTGAGAATTGGTTCAAGGGCAACTTCACAGGTGACCCCATATTTGATGCAAAAAAGATATTGTTTCAAGTTTCAACCATCAATTTTCCTTCAATTCATTTTAGATCCATCTATTCATCGATCCTTTTCAGCTGAACTATTCAGCCTCCCAGTTTTCTTCCAAACATCCGAATTCGTGTGAAATCACCATGTTTCACATCGATTTCTTCAGACATTTCAGCCGAAGCGGCGAGGCTGGGAAGGCGGCCTTGGCTCCCAAGCCTTCGCTCAGCTGATGATGCGCCTGGCTGCGCTGGTGCTGGTCATCGCCACGGCGCAGACGTGTCGGAAGTACGTCAGTCTGGTGCAGGTGGAGCTGCGATAGATCGTTTCGGTATATAAAAAGATAGATGGATATAATATATATATATATAAGATAGGTGCCCCATGATTACTATAATGAGTTATAAGTTATAAGTTATATCTATAGTTACAGTATATCTATAGTTGTATACATGTTATACAGTATCCCCCATGATTACTATAATGAGTTATAAGTTATAAGTTATATCTATAGTTACAGTATATCTATAGTTATATACATGTATACATGTTATACAGTATCCCCCATGATTACTATAATGAGTTATAAGTTATAAGTTATATCTATAGTTATATACATGTTATATCATTCCCCAACAGCAAAACTTTGCTATGGGGTCTTTAGCCTAGATTAGCTCCGGTGCGATCCGGTGCAGCTTCAACATCAGGTTCCGGACAAGGTTCCGGAGGGTTCTGGTGCGGATACCTCGTGAGGTTCCGGAGCGTTCCGGTGCAGATACCTTGTGAGGTTCCGGAAGTTTCCGGTGCAGCTACCTGATGAGGTTCCGGAGGTTCCGGAGGGTTCCGGGGCAGATACCTTGTGAGGTTCCGGAAAGTTCCGGTGCAGAGACCTTGTGGGGTTCCGGAGGGTTTTGGCGGAGAAGATGCTTGGTGAGGTTCCGGAGGGTTCCGGTGCAGATACCTTGTGAGATTCCGGCGGGTTCTGGTGCAGATGCTTTGTGAAATTCCAAAGGGTTCCGATGTTTTTTTATGGCATAAGCACTTGATTTTTATGGCATAAGCGGCGCTTACTTTTTTATGGCATAAGCACTTTTTATGGCAAAACGCGGAAGCTTTCAAGCTGTTGGGGATAGCACCTGAGTTTATTTATTTTTTTCTACCGTAAACCATAGTGAAAGTGATATAAACGAACTTAGCTAACATAAACATGGAGGTTTGCTGAGTCATGGGGGTATCTCCAAATCATGCAAATTTGACCATGACTTAGTATTGAAACCCATTGGGACTTGGGGGTCCATCATTTTGAGAAATGTCCATATATAGCCTAGCATACATATGCATACCAACATATACCAACAATAGTAATAATATGAACAATTGCAATGATAGACCCACAACAAAATGGATGGTCATTTGGGTTCCAGGTATATGCGACGGTCTGTGGGGTTTGAGACTTGGGATGTTTTTTGGACAGTGGACGTTATTTTTTGGGAAAGTAGGATATCCCTATCGTGTTTCATCATTTTGCCTCCATTGAAATGGTAATACGTTGGGGTATCCCCCAATTTTGGGCAAGCCAATGCAGTATTGTGTATTATACCCTCTGGTAAACGTTTACATAACTATGGAAAATCACCATTTTTCATGGGAAAATCCACTATTTCTATGGCCATTCTCAATAGCTACGTCAGCCATTACCAGAGGGTATCAATCCCAGGGGGGTTGGGTTTTGGGATGATTTTCACCGATAAAACGCCAGGCCAGTTTTTTCGAAAAAACGCCATGGTGAGAGCTCAAAAACGGGGCAAGCACTGGACCTTGGTGGCCCGGCTCAGTACTCTGGGAAATCCCTACTGTGTAGGAATTTTCCAGTGGTTAGATTAGAGGAGGGTACTTAAACTTGGGGAATTGATACACACACACACATATATATATATAATATGTATGTTATTTGTATCTACATCGTCTAATAATATTTAATCTGTATCTGTATCTACATCGACGTCTATATCTTGGAGGTGCAGATCCTGAGACAAGTCCCCAAGTGATGGCATCTGATGGTCGCATGTTTTAAGTTGAACACATTTCTTCCCCAAATCTGCGAATTCTATGGTTAAACATGACCAGATTTCTGGGGCTCATTGTCTCATTATCACTTCCACCGAGCTACATCCAGTGGCTGCCCATGTAGCAGATGGCACCTGGCCAGGTCCTTCCAAGGTTGAGATGGAAACCAGTGGAATCATGTTGAGAAACCAGTGGAATCATGTTCAACAACAGAATTTCATGTATGTATATATATATATGTATATGTATATATGTATGTATGTATGTATATATATATATATATATTTGGCATACACTATAAACATCCATAACAACGTAGCTGATTTTATCGTGGCCTCTTCACAGCGACACAGCATGGATACGCCACGACTTTCGAAGCTAGCCATCCTGTGAAAGCTGCACACTGGTGCAGCTGTTGAATGACCATGGCATGGATGCTCCGGTTCCTCTCAGGTGGGGCTAAACCGATTTTCATCCTTGCCAAGCAAGGAGTGTCCGCTGTGCCGAAGCCCTGCGCGGCATTGTAGGGATCACAAAATCACATGAAATATGGGTGGATGGGGGTGGATCAACATCCCACTTTGGGGTACAGTGTGTAAACCTCTGTATTGGACATGAGTCTTCTTGGATGTCGGTGAGGATACACAGAGTGCATAGGGGTTTGGTGAGGATACACCACCCAAAGATCAGCTAATCCCAAGTACTTGTCCATATTTGTTCCACAAACAAGCGAGCCATAATATATATATATATAAATTAATTATATAATAGCATTATATATATATATAAAAACATACATACTTGATCATACTTGTGTATATCATCGACACATCTCTTGGGATGTTCTTCACTGTAGGTGAACCTGTTTCGATGCAATCCTACCCATTGTCCAAGCCATGACGTGCGGGAGCCTCGGCTCAGCCTTGCGCAGGGAGCCATTCATCACCGCAGCGCGTCCGTCAAAAGCTGGGCTGTTGCGGTGGGCGTGCCGAGTTCCTGCGCCGTCCACAGCAGAGCAGAGTCATGTGGGTCGTCCTTGACGACATGAAGGTCATTATTTTAAACTACAGTGTATACATTACATTCATTTTGCTAATGTCAAGTACTTTGTTGAGTAACAGTGATGCAGTGATCTGATTGATCTTGAAACATATTGGACTAGTTGATCCCCGTTTTTTTGTTTGCAAAGTTTCAGAGCGCTATGTTTTGCTTTGGGATTTGGGGCTACACCGAGCCAAATGTTAACCTGTGGTGCACCGATCCCAATTAGTTTCCAATAGGATGAGCACTGCTGTGGCAGGAAGGATTGATTTCAGGCGTCGGTGCCAAAAAACGGGGTCCAAAGATAGGTGCCCCAAGACAGACCAGGCGGCAGTTTGGGAGCGACAAAAGGCTTGGCAACTTTTCGCCTGACGTGGAACTGGAGTTGTTATTTCCAAGTGGCCAGTCAATTCAGTTTTGCTGTGTCGAATCCATAGGGGTGTTTCCCCACCTATGCACCTCTGGAGACCTTCAAGCACCCAGGGGCATAGGAGTACTTGCGGCTGCCAGGGAAGTTTGATAAGATTGACTGTACTGTGGTGTTGACGCGCAGAGAGGTAGGGAACATAGTCATCCAGCAGCAAAGCCATGAAGCAAAGCCATGAATGAAGCCAATTCTAATGTCAATTGCATTCAACCGTTTCAGCTGGCTCCCATGCTATATAGACAACAAGAGTACGGCGAGGAAATGATGCGGGTTCGTGGTCCGTTGGTGATAAATGATATCGCAATAAAGTAAGTGTGATTGCACGTGCTTTTGCAAAATTGATTCCAGAAGATGTGGGTTCATAGCAGACAAAAGCAGTTAACTTTCCCATTGAGGAGTAATGTGGTAAACCCAACAAAACCATACAAAACCCAACAATTAACCATCCCAAAAAATCACCATGAATGGGGTGTATAAACCATCTCCAAACAGTAGGTTTATGGCATTTTTTCCATGAATCTTCCAGCCACTGTGACCGGGTGCCATGGTGGCAGATGCCCATCACGTGGTGGTGTCAATTGGAAGACTGGTCATTTTCGGAGTCTGCTACATTGATGCTCGATTGGATTGCCATTGTGCCTGTAGTTGACGTGTTTTTTTTTTTTTTTTAAAAAACTATATAAAACTATAGATCTACATGCATGATATATATATATATACACACATACTGTGTGTATATGTATATATATATATATACACTGTATGTACGTCATATATGTATATATGATAATACAGATTATCTATATAGGTATGATGTTAATATGTATATACACTGTATGGTATATATATATACACACACTATGATATATATATATATACATGGCTGGAGTGGCCATGTATATTTCAGGGACATCCCTATGCGTTACCAGCACTGGGGAGTTTTCCTCAGGAGAACGGCTATGTCCCGATTGCGCCCTTCTTGGTGTCGAAGACGGAGGTTGGTCTCTTGCTTTCAGCGCAGGCCTTTGCAGGTGCGTCCCATCGAAGGATTGCTGGGGCGACAACCCATGGATTTTTAGGGGACCCCAGTGATCCTCCAAGTCATTAGATCATAACTTACCCTCTGGTGATTTAACATAGCCATGGAAAATCACCATTTATAGATGGTGTACCTATTAAAAATGGTGATTTTCCATGGCTATGTTAAATAACCAGATGGTAGTATTGAAACCTATGGTTCAACAAGAACCGGATTCATTTTCTAAGAAACTCCCACACCAATGGCATCATAATTTCATCACTAGAAATGGGAGTTTCCTAAAGATGGGGGATCCCCTGTTTATAATGAAACATCCCAAGCAAAAATGGATGATTTGGGGTGGGGATGGGTAGCCCTATTTTAGGAAACTTCGAGTTTTGGGGATAGGTGAAGACCTACCATATCACTGGATGCCATAGATCCCAGCGAAGCTGCTGGTTCTGGTATTGTCATTACGATCAGTACTATCGTTATTAGTACTATCATTGTCATTATTAATTCATTCATTGTTATTAAGTTATTATTGTCATTATTATATGTCATCATCATTGAAAAAATTCATTTGTTCTTGTCATTCCTATATATATATATACATATACATCATTATACATCTATATGTATACTATCGGCATTAGAATCATCCTCATTATCGTTATAGTAATCATCATCATGCTGATCCGCTCGGCGCCTCGGCGCCTCGGCAGGCTGTGCTGCGCTGATCCCCGCGGGCTTGGCCATAGATCGTTTGGGACCAAAGCCTGTGCTACTGTGGGCAGCGCAGGTGACGCAGCGCTTGGGAATGGGAACCACACCGGTAAACATGGGTAAACCATGATGGGAATATCATGGAATATGCCCCATATGGGAAAGAAACATATTAATGTAAGCAACAATATAGCAGGCTATGCGTCCTTTTCAATCGGAAACCAATGGGTTTGGTTTTGGGATTTCAAGCACTCGAGAAGTGGCATTGTGTGGTCACCTTCACAGGTGTATAATCTACGAAGGACAAGGCTTGAAACCCAGCAAATGATTCATATTAATATTGTCCAAGAGTGATGATCTACACCCATCACCTGTGGCTGATCTTCCCATTCCCGTCCACATCATTTTTGCCGCAAATCCATCCATTGGGTGAGATTTCCATGCTGCTTTCTTTCAAATGCACATAGATTCGCATTCTCATGTGTGTGTTTGGGCATCCTTGAAAGGACATCAGTGATTTTCATATTCCCATGGCTACTGGACATGTGGTTGGCTGGAAAATCCAGAAATTCAATCCCCTTGAGAGCCTTGAGAGATGATTTTTTGGCGCCACGATTGTTTTTAAGTGCCACCACTTGGATTTTTGTTGGTTTCAACCAGGAAATTGAGAATCATGTGACAACTTGCAAGTAAAAGTGGTTAGTCTTACGATAGATGGGACCATCCCAGTTATAAATAGTCGGACTGACCATCACCCTGATCCAGCTTCGGATGGCATGAATCTCGAATCTTGATGCTTCCCTGTATTAGGTACGGCCATGGGGTCCCCCATTCCATCCGGCGGTTTCAAAATAGTTTTTTAATACTTTATTGGTCAGAAGTTGGGGTATAGTATACCTTGTTTCTGACAAAGCCCTTAAATGTGGTCCCGTAATGTCTAGGTTGACCCAGCAACTGGGTCGTGTTTGGTTTTTACCCATCCCAAAAGTCAGGTCAATAGGATTGGTTTAAGGGAAAATCTACTGGACATGTGGTGCAAAATTTCACTGGCACCACTTTGGGGATCATGCTTCCATTGTCGAAATAACTGGGTTGATATATGTACGTACGTAAATAAATATATATATATAATAATATATATATATATATAATAATAATAATAATAATTATATATATATATAATAATATATATATATATAATAATATATATATATAATAATAATAATATATATATAATAATAATATATATATATATATAATAATAATAATAATAATATATACTAGTTATATATATATGCTCCAGGCCTGCCACCTCCCCCCCCTGCCACCCCCCCCATGGGTTGGGTACCCCCCCTCCCCCCCTGTGGTCATGGGTGTTTCCCCCTCCCCCCCCTGTGGCTGGTAGTGGCCTTGTATGTCCATACCCATGTCTTCGTCTTTGCATGCTGGTATGGTATGTTGGGTATGTTTCACATGTATGGTATGTGTGGTATGCATGATAGGTAAGATAGGTATGGTATGCATGGTTACTATGATGGGTATGGAATGTTTCCTATGTAAGGTAGGTATGGTATGTATGGCATGTATGCTTGGTATTGTATGTATGGTAGGTGTTGTGATTATGTTTCATATGTATGGTATGTGTGGTATGCATGATAGGTGAGATAGGTATGGTATGCATGGTTACTATGATGGGTATGGAATGTTTCCTATGTAAGGTAGGTATGGTATGTATGGCATGTATGTTTGGTATTGTATGTATGGTAGGTGTGGTGATTATGCTTCATATGTATGATATGTGTGGTATGCATGATAGGTATGATAGGTATGGTATGCATGGTTACTATGATGGGTATGGAATGTTTCCTATGTAAGGTAGGTATGGTATGTATGGCATGTATGTTTGGTATTGTATGTATGGTAGGTGTTGTGATTATGTTTCATATGTATGGTATGTGTGGTATGCATGATAGGTAAGATAGGTATGGTATGCATGGTTACTATGATGGGTATGGAATGTTTCCTATGTAAGGTAGGTATGGTATGTATGGCATGTATGTTTGGTATTGTATGTATGGTAGGTGTGGTGATTATGCTTCATGTGTATGATATGTGTGGTATGTATGACATGATAGGTATGATAGGTATGGTATGCATGGCATCATGTTAATGTATGGTAGGTACCAAATATGTTAAACACATATAGTCGGGGCTTAGCACACAGGTAGTAAAGAGGGAGCGTTGATACATAGCACATGTATATATGAGTATATATACGTGGCCTTATATGCTCGTACCTATGGCTTCGTCTTTGCATGCTGCCATATACTGCCCCCATATGACATCTTCTCTCTCCCCCCCCTGTGGTGTGGTGGGGGTGTGGTACTGTCCTCTCTCCCCCCTGTGGTGTGGTGGGGGTGTGGTATGGTATGTTGAGTATGTGTGGAGTGTTTGGTCGGTTTGGTATGGCATGTTTGGAAAGTATGGTATGTTTGGTATGTATGGTAGGTATGGTATGTATGCCATGAATGCTTGGTATTGTATGGATGGTAGGTATGGTATGTAAGTCTGTTGTGTATGGTATGTTTGATATGACAGTATGTATGGTATGCATGGTATGTATGGTTACTATGATGGGTATGGAATGTTTCCTATGTAAATGTAGGTATGGTATGTATGGCATTCATGTTTTCCATATGAGATTTTCATCCGCTCCCCCCCCTTGTGGCTGGCAGTGGCCTTATGTGTTCGTAGCTATGTTTTACATATATCATATAGTGGGGTCATGTTTACCCCCATCATCTGATTGTCCGTGCTTGCTCTACAGAGACTTTGAGATGTGATCACCGATGCCGCTCGACCTTTCCGCTGGAGTTTATGTGGGGCAAGGCACGGGGGCATGATTGGGCAGATGACAACAAGACAAAGACAAATAATCAAATCCAGCGTGTGTGAATACAAAACCAGTCTTCATATAGATCCAGTATATAAACCCGTGCATGAGACAGGTGATATATATATATATGTGTGTGTGAATATATACGGACACACACACACACATATATATATATATATGGACATTTGAATGCTTTGATGCATCGATATATAATTGCCTGCACATGACACAGATACCTATATATGTATATATATATAGATATATATGGTGATACTTTCTATGTGAATCTGTCATAATAAGAGACTCGGAGCGATCATGGCCAACCGTCTGGACATTGATTGAGACAAGAGACTGGGTGGCAAGAAGGGGAGATGGCGCCACATACGGTGGCGACACATACGGGGGTTTGGGCCTGGAAAAAGTCTTACAGAGGGTTTTTGGTGGCTTGAAGATGTAAGTACCTACCAGCTGCTAGTGGGGAATCACAGAGCGTTTTGCATTACCTCTAGCTTTAAACAACGGCATCCAAATGATACACATTGGTGACACATGTGGCAGCTGCCAGCTTCGCTCAGGACGGACTTTGCCGTAGCCGAGTGAGACGCCCGTGCCGTATCTGCAGACCACATCCGTGCGAGACACTACACGGCAGGACAGTGATGTTTGGTCCTGTTCGGTTAGACTGCCCCAAAGCAAAACACTGACGGGTATTGTTCATTACATAGGGCGAGCTTGGGGGATAAGTTCTGGCATTTCTAGATGGCAGTGGTATACCTGATGTCGGACAAAAAGGTAAGCAAGGACGAACAGGTTTTGGAAACTACTTGTTGACGCATGTGGCAGCTGTCAGCTTTGCTCAGGACGGACCTTGGCGTGGCTGAGTGTGGCGCCTGTGCCGTGTCTGACAGACAGATCAGCAAAGACGGACAGATTTTGGATTCTATTTGACATAGGGCGAGCTTGGGGGGTAAGTTTTGGAATTTCTAGATCGCAGTGGTATACCTGATGTCGGACAAACAGGTGAGCAAGGACGAACACGTTTTGGTTTCTACTTGTTAACAGCACACTTCCACCGAATGAAGTCATTCGGACATTACCTTGGTGACACATGTAACAGCTGTCAGCTTCGCTCAGGAGGGACGTTGGCGTGGATGAGTGTGGCGCCTGTGCCGTCTCTGCAGACCACACCTGTGCGAGACACGACACAAAAGGACAGTGATGCGTGTTCCCTCAGTTAGAGTGTCCAAAAAAAGGCTAGGCCGGGTATTGTGCATTAATCATTATGGTCATTGCAGGGCACATACACTTGGTCCCATCTTTTTGTCACTGTTTTCGGATACCGTCTACCATCTCTGCAGCGCAGGATCTCGAAGCAGCCCTGACATTCATTCGCAGTTTCCCAGACTGCAGCAGTTGGAACATCTTGCTCCTCGATCAGGAGCGGAAAAATGCCCTGGTGCACAGACCGCAGCTGAGCACGCAAGCACTCCTCGCAGAGTTATCGGTGCCTTGCCATAGCCGATCTCGGTGCAGCACCGTCAAAATGTCAGATCGACACAAATATCCTGCGTATACTATATATAAGCTGTTTGTTTCGGCCCTATCCATGCCACTACAAGCTATTTCCAATCATTTCCTCGCTGTCTTGTTATTCGGACCTCACAGAGCCTATGCTTTGACCACGCTGAGGTATGGATGAAGCTGCCGTGTCACTTCTTCATTCGCCCAAATCTCAATTCAGTAGTCATGATCGACTTGGACAACTTCACTGGCTCCCTCTCCAAACTTCTGCAGTTGCATCCGCGCGCATTGGTGCAGACTAGCAGACAGAGCTATCAGCTTTGGCTGACTTTGGACCAAAGGCACCAAGCCAGAGACGCACAGATTGTGACGCAGGAGCTCACCAAGGCTTTGGGGGGCGATCCATGCTCAGCCCGCATCACCCAGGTCGGGCGCTTGCCCGGCAGCATCAATCGCAAGCCGGAGAAGCAGTGTCACACCCATTTATTGTATTCTGGCTTGGCGAACTTGGACGAAGCTCAGTACCTGCAGCTCACAAGCAACCCTCAGATGCGCTTGCAGCATGGAAGTGTTCAAACCGACTCGGCACCGCCCAAACGGGACATCAGCCGCGACGACTGGAGAGAGGCTTGCCACTTTTTCGAGTCGAATCCGCAAGC